TGCTCGTGCTCGGCCTGCTGCGCAGCGCGCAGCCCTTCAGCGCGCCGCGGCGCCGCACCGCGCGCGTGCGCCGCGCCGCCGCGCGGTCGCCGGAGGTCGGCTACCACGACTACGACGGCTGGCGCTGCGCCTACCGCCGCTACGACGGCTGCTCGCCGGCCGTCGTGCTCCTGCATCCCATCGGCCTCGGCCTCAGCGGCTGGTTCTGGACGAAGGTCGCCGAGGCGCTGCCCAACGAGGTCTTCGTGCCCGACTTTGTCGGCTGCGGCCTGTCGGACCCGTGGGACCCGGACGAGCGCGGCATGTCGCTGCCGGGCGCCTACGCGCGCCAGGTCGAGGCGCTCTGGCGCGAGCGCATCGGCAAGCCCTGCGTCGTCGCAACGCAGGGCGGCATCGCGCCCGTCGGCGTGCTCCTGGCGTCGCGGTCGTCCGACGACTGGGACGGCGCGCGCGCCGTCGCCGGCCTCGCGCTCGTGAGCCCGCCGACGTGGCGGGACATCGCCGGCGGCCTGGACCGCAGGGAGGTCGCGAAGAACTACGAGCAGCTGACGTCGCGGCTCGGCCGCTGGGGCTTCGACGTCCTGAGGCGCGAGGCGTTCATCCGCTTCTTCTCCGACCTCTTCCTCTTCGAGGGCGCGTGCGACGACGCCTGGGTCGCGAACTGCCTCGAAGACGACGCGCGGCCGAAGAGCGAGCAGCCCGTGCTCGCGTTCAACGCGGGCATCGTCAACGCGCGGCCGCTCTACGACGAGCTCGCGAGCTGCGTCGACCAGCCCGTCCGCGTCGTCGAGGGCGCCGGCGACAAGCGCGCGCGGGACCGCGGCGGCTACGAGGACGCCATCGTCGACTGCGACCGCGTGACCATTCCGTCGGCCTGCAACGTCGTCGGCTGGGAGAACCCCGAGGCGACGGCCTCGGCGCTCTCGTCCCTCGTCGCCAAGGCGCGGAAGCTCGGCCGCCTCGACGAGGAAGACGTCATAATCGTCAGTTAGCGAGAGAGCAACAAGCTTAGTTTAGCCCCAGCGGGACTTGTAGGTGTAGGACCGCTGCGTGCGGTAGGCGTCGAACTCGTCGGGCAGGGGCGCGGCGCCGGGCAGGGGCGGCGCGCGGCCGGCGTTCCCCGGCGCGTGGCCGCCGATGCCGACCTTGTCCGTCTGGGGCGCGACGTTGATGGGCTCGGCCATGCCGCCGCCGTCCGCGCCGAGGCCGCGGCCCTCCTGCCAGCCCATGCTCTCGAGCATCTGGCGGCCGACGTTGTCGTCGCCGAGGGGCACGTCGAGGCCGCGCGGCGACCGGTCGTCGCCGTCGGGCTCGCGCGCCGTCGAATAGGACGCGCCGAAGTCGCGGCGCGGCCGCTTCGCGCGGTCGTCGTCGTCGTCGTCGTCGTCGCGGCGCCGCGTCGACGAGTAGGACGCGAGGGCCTGGGACGGCGGCGGCGCGGCCGGGGGCTGCGCGGACCGCGCGGCCGCGCGCCGGAGCCGGTCCTTGTCGAGGACGCGGTAGAACTCCTTCACGCGCGCCTCCAACCGCCCCGGTTCCACGGCCGGCGGCATGAGCGACGGCATGGCCGACACGTCCAGCGGCTTCCAGGGCTCGTGGCCCGACGCGAGCGCGACCTTGATGAGGCCCGCCATGACGCCCGCGGGTATTGACGCGAGGTCGCAGCGCTGCGACGACGCGGCGGCCGCGGTGGCCGCGGCGACGCTCTGGGACGTCGCCGCGGCCTTGGCCTTGGCCGCGGCGACGGCGACGTCGGGCGGCGGCGCCGGCGGGGCCGCCGCGGGCGGCGGCGGCGCGGGCACGGTCGCCGGCGCGGCGACGACGCGCGGCGCCGCGGCCGCGGGCGCCGCGGCCGGCGGCGCGGGCGCCGCGGGCGGCGGCGGCGGCGGCGCCGTCTTCGCCGCGTCGCGGAGCGCCTGGATGGACTGGGCGGGGAAGACCTTCTTCGTGCCCCAGAGCTCGACGACGCGCAGCACCTTCTCGCGCGCTCCGTCGTCCGGCGCCGCGCGGCTCGCCGCGTGGACGACGGTCGCGAGCTCCGGGTAGAAGCCCCTCCGGTAGGGGTCGTCCTTGCCGCTGTTGAAGAAGACGTCGTTGAGCAGGTAGATGGCGTAGAGGATTTTCGCGAACGCGCCCGCGGATTTCGCCGCGGCCGCGCCGCGGACGACGTACTCGCGGAGCGCGACGGCGAGCTCGGGCGTCGCCGCGGGCCGCGCGAGCATCCACTCCTTGGCCTGCTGGATCGACTGTTTCGTCCCCGCCATGGTCTCCAGGATCTCCGTGAACTCCGACGCCATCGCCTTGACGGCGTAGATGAAGCCGATCTGCTGGCGCGTCTCGAGCGCGGCGATGGTGCCGGTTTCGGCGCGCGCGGCGATGGTGCCGCTCGCGTCGCGGGTCGGGCAGTGAGCGCGGCCTCGAGCGCGCGGGTTTGGCAGTTCGCGCGCGTCGACGACGGGCTTGGCGGCGGTCCTCTTGCGCGTCGACGACGAGCTCGGCGGCGGCGCTCTCGTGCCGGGCGGCGACCAAGCCGGCGCCGCTTGGCCGGCGCCGCGCCACCGCCACCGACGCCGTCCGCGCCATCCCAGGCGTCGATGCTATCGGCAGCCCCCCGCGCGCTCGACGTCGTCCTCGGCGGGCAGGACGCCGGCGTCGACGAGGAAGCAGTGGAGGAAGGGCGCGAGGTACAGGCTCGCCGCCGTCGTCCAGTGGCCCTTGTCCGTGACGGCGACCGTGCTCGTCCCCGGGATCCGCGCGCGACACCAACCGCCGTCGCAGAGCAGATCGAACACGGGAAAAAAGAGCGTGCCCTCGTCGCGCGCGAGCTCCTCGTAAAAAGCCTCGGCGGCGTCGAAGCCCGGGGGCCGCGCGTCCGCCCGGCTCGCGTCGCACCGTCCCTCGGTCTCCGGCGTCTTGCAGTTGAAGCCGTGGTCCGCGAGGTACGGCCCGTCGCCGAGGAGGAGGAGCGTCGCGCCCGCGTCTCGCACGGTCGCCTGCAGGTCCCGCAGGAACGCCGCGTCGTGGCCGCCGGCGAACTCGAACTTGTAGTGGGCCGTGATCGTCGCGACGACGTCGCCCGCGCGCGCGCGCTCGCGGATCGAGGCGAGCAGCTTCGCCGCGAAGTCGGCGCAGACGTCGGTCCGCGCCCACCAGAGGTCCGCCGGGTCGTTGTCCAGGTAGGCCTCGACGAAGCCCAAACTGTTGAGGCCGCAGCCGTAGCCGCAGGTCGCCTGGACGACGCCGAACCGCGGCGCCGCCGCGGCCGTGACGCCCGCGACCCACGACGCCGCGTGCGAGTCGCCCAGGAGGAACAGCGCCCGGCCGTCGCCCGCCGGCCCGCGGCAGGGCGACAGGCAGGCGTCGAGGAGCGTCGCGTTGTCGGCGAAGCAGAGCGTGCCGCTCGGCGCGGAGCACGGGTTCACGAAGACGCCCGCGCCCAGGCTGAAAAAGTTCGCGGCCTCGAGCTCCGGGGTCGTCGCCGGGTCGACGTCGACGAAGCACGCGGGCCCGCCGGCCGTCGCGCCGGCGGGCACGTGGGTCTGGCCGCCGCAGGGTTCGCAGGCGCAGCGGCGCCGGGGGAAGCGGCTCCCGTCGAGCGTCTCGGCCCAGGTTGCCTCGCGCGCGCACGCGCAGCCCGACTCCTCGGCGCCGTAGAGCGGCGCGCAGCGGCAGTCGTCGCCGCACCAGGCCCGGTCCCGCGACGCCGGCGCGCCGCAGGCGTGGGGCGCCGCGGTCTCGCACGACGACGTCGGCGCTTCCGAGGAAGAGGAGGACGAGCCCGCCGAGGAATCGTCGTCGTCGTCCTCCGCGACGACGGCGGCGGACGACGGCGCGGGCGTCGGGTCGCGCCGGTCCGGCTCCGCGTCGCGCGGCGGGCCGACGCTCACGTCCAAGCCGCCGGCGCTGCTCAGCCAGGGGCTGGTGAAGTCGTCGATGGCCGACGCGGCGTCGTCGTCGCCGCCGCCGCCGCCGCGCCGCCGCGCGTCGGTGACGACGATGCAGACGGCGATGACCACGCACAGCGAGACGAAGGACGTGGCGTAGACGAGCCAGGTGTGCCACCGCGGCGGCTCCGGCTCCTCGCCCTTCTCCGGCTCCTCGCTCTCGACCGCCTCCTCCTTGGTCTCCTCCTTGGGCGCTTTCAGCGGCTCGGCGACCGCGGGCTGCTCCGGCTGCGCAAGAACGTCTTCTGCTTCTTCTGTTTCGTCCTCGTCGAGGTCCGATTCCTCCTCGTGCACCTCGAGGTGGAAGATGTCGGCGGGCTCGATCATGATTTTTGGCTGCCCATGCCCATCATGCGGGTTCGACCCTGATGTCAACAAGAGCTTGCTGGAGGATCAGCACTACCACAATCGTATGGAGCAATCGCACGCCGAGAGCGCTGCTGCTCCAGCAGCACCGCCACCAACACCGGACGACGCGCCCACGGACGACGACGACGACTCACACTCGCCCCAGCGCGCGCCGAGCGCTTTGGCCTTCGTCGTCGTCGAGCGCCAGCGCCACCTGCCGTTCCTGGGCTGGCGCCACCCGATGGGCCTCTACGACCCCCACGGCTTCGAGGACGAGGCGGGCCACGGCGCGAACGCGCCGGCGCAGACGGGCTGGGAGGTCGAGGTCACGGCGGAGACGGACCGCGACGGCTGGCGCTACGGCACGCACTTCGAGCGCCTCGGCGTGCCGCGGCGCGGCGGCCGCGCGGCGAAGCGGAGCACGGACGCGTGCCGCGCGCGGCGCTGGACCTACGGCCTGGACGGCGACCCGCGCGGCGTGTTAACGGATCCGGGCGGCGACGCCGCCGAGGACGGCGACGCCGTCGGCCTCTTTCTCTTTTGGCAGATGTTGCGGTCGACGCTCGGCCGCCGGCCGCTCCGCGACGTGCCCATGGACCCGAGCGCCCTCTACCGCGTGCGCAAGCGCCACGCGGCCTACTACCGGGCCTGGGTCGGCGAACGGCTCCCGCGCGGGCCCGCGGCGGGCGCGGACCTCGTGGACTTGGCGCACGCGTTCGTCTACGTCCGCGCGTCCTACGGCTTCGCGATGGCCGAGGGCCACATGGACGGCGTGCGCGTCGGCGCGGCCATGTTCACCGTGCGCAAGGTCCACTTCGACGTCACGGAGGACGTCGACGACGCGTCGAACACGAAATGCCTGCGGGAGCTCGCGGCGCTGGACGAAGCGTCGCTCGTCCACGCGCGCTGGAGCAACCTCACGTACCGCCCCTCCTTCTTCGTCGCCGCGGACCACGATCGCAGGTGGGTCGTCCTGGCCATTCGCGGCACGCTGGCGATGCGCGACGTGCTGACGGACGTGACCGCGAGCCAGGTCGCGTTCTGCGGAGGGCACGCGCATCTGGGCTTCGTGAAATGCGCGGCCTTCGTCGAGCGCGAGGCCGCGGCCCACCTCGAGGCCGCGCGGCAGCGATGGCCCGCCTACGACCTCGTGCTCTGCGGCCACAGCATGGCGGGGTCCATCGCGGCGATCCTGGCGCTGTCGTACCGGCGGTCGCCGGGGCGGTGGCCGCGGTTCCCGAAACCGCCGCGCGTCTTCTGCATGGGCGGCGCGGGGTCCCTGAGCGCGGACCTCGCCGACGAGGCGCGCGGCTTCTGCCTCGGGGCGATCCACGGCAAGGACCCCGTCGCGCGGCTCTCCGTCGTCAACATCGAGGCGCTCCTCGACGAGCTCGTGGACCAGGGCCTCGGCCGCAAGCTCGGCACGCTCCTCTTCGGCGAGACCGCCTTCGAGGCGCGGTCGCCGACGACGCGCCTCAAGCACGCGGAGGACGACGCGCCGCCCGCCGACGCGGCCGACGCGCCGGCGTCAAACGTCGAGCCCGAGTTCGAGGTCGAGCCGGACCCGGACGCGGGCGATGCGAGCCCGCTCGACGCGGCGCTCGACGAGGGCGAGAGCCAGATCCGCGTGCCCCTCTTCACGCCGGGCCGCGTCGTCCACGTCGACTGGGACTCCTTCGACGGGAAGAAGGGCGCGGACGCGCCGTTCTGCTTCGAGGGCGCGCCGCCGGACTACGACAAGCTCCTCCTCTCCTACACGCTCTTCGGCTACCACATCCCCAAGGGCTACTGCGAGCTCCTCTTCGAGCTCGCCGGCGCCTACGGCGACGACGGCGACGACGGCGGCGACGGGGCCGCGACGCGCCGCGCGCTCCGGGACCGCGTCGCCGCCGCGAAATGGGCACGGCCCGTTTTTAAGGGGCGCTTATTCTGATCCCATTTAGCGTGCTGGTGGCCCTACGTAGTGCCACTAGCGGTGGGCGCCTCGGTGGCGTGTCGCCGGTGTCTCGGTGTGCCGTGGGCCTGGCGACGCGACGTCCGCGAAGCGAGCGCGAGGTAGCCGGGTTCGGACTAACACATCCCGCCGGTAATATCTACGGGGATGATTTACACAAGTTCGATAAAGCCCCGGCGGCCTGCTCCTTGGCGCCGTCGGTGCCGGTCCGGAGGAGGTCGATGAGCAGGTCCGCGGCGCCGGCCTTGACGATGTCGATCTTGTTGTCGTCGTTGTTCGCAGACAAGTTCCGCAAAGCCGCCGCGGCCTGCTCCTTGGCGCCGTCGGTGCCGGTCCGGAGGAGGTCGACGAGCGGATCCACGGCGCCGGCCTTGGCGATGGCGACCGTGTTCTCGGCGTTCCCAAGAGCCAAGTTGTCCAAAGCCCCCGCGGCGTCCTCCTTGGCGCCGTCGGTGCCGGTCCGGAGGAGGTCGACGAGCGGATCCACGGCGCCGGCCTTGGCGATGGCGACCTGGTTGTCGGCGTTCTCCCAAGCCAAGTTGCACAAAGCCCCCGCGGCCTCCTCCTTGGCGCCGTCGGTGCCGGTCCGGAGGAGGTCGACGAGCGGGTCCACGGCGCCGGCCTTGGCGATGTCGATCTTGTTGTCGGCGTTCGCAGCCAAGTTGCACAAAGCCCCCGCGGCCTGCTGCTTGGCGCCGTCGGTGCCGGTCCGGAGGAGGTCGACGAGCGGATCCACGGCGCCGGCCTTGGCGATGGCGACCTGGTTGTCGGCGTTCTCCCAAGCCAAGTTGCACAAAGCCCCCGCGGCCTGCTGCTTGGCGCCGTCGGCGCCGGTCCGCATGAGGGCGACGAGCGGGTCTACGGCGCCGGCCTTGGCGATGGCGACCTTGTTCTCGGCGTTCCCAAGAGCCAAGTTGTCCAAAGCCGCCGCGGCCTGCTCCTTGGCGCCGTCGGTGCCGGTCCGGAGGAGGTCGACGAGCGGATCCACGGCGCCGGCCTTGGCGATGGCGACCTGGTTGTCGGCGTTCTCCCAAGCCAAGTTGCACAAAGCCCCCGCGGCCTGCTGCTTGGCGCCGTCGGCGCCGGTCCGCATGAGGGCGACGAGCGGGTCTACGGCGCCGGCCTTGGCGATGGCGACCTTGTTCTCGGCGTTCCCAAGAGCCAAGTTGTCCAAAGCCGCCGCGGCCTGCTCCTTGGCGCCGTCGGTGCCGGTCCGGAGGAGGTCGACGAGCGGATCCACGGCGCCGGCCTTGGCGATGGCGACCTGGTTGTCGGCGTTCGCAGCCAAGTTCCGCAAAGCCCCCGCGGCGTCCTCCTTGGCGCCGTCGGCGCCGGTCCGGAGGAGGTCGACGAGCGGATCCACGGCGCCGGCCTTGGCGATGGCGACCGTGTTCTCGGCGTTCTGAGAAGCCAAGTTCCGCAAAGCCGCCGCGGCCTGCAACTTGATCCCGTCGGTGCCGGTCCGGAGGAGGCCGACGAGCGGGTCCGCGGCGCCGGCCTTGGCGATGGCGACCCTGCTCTCGGCGATTTCACGAGCCAATTCCCGCAAAGCCCCCGCGGCCTGCTCCTTGGCGCCGTCGGTGCCGCTCCGAAGGAGGTCGACGAGCGGATCCACGGCGCCGGCCTTGGCGATGGCGACCGTGTTCTCGGCGTTCTGAAAAGCCAAGCTCCACAAAGTCGCCGCGGCCCCCTCCTTGGCGCCGTCGGTGCCGGTCCGGAGGAGGTCGACGAGCGGGTCCACGGCGCCGGCCTTGGCGATGGCGACCTTGTTGTCGTCGTTCTCCCAAGCCAAAAAGTTCCGCAAAGCCCCCGCGGCGTGCTGCTTGGCGCCGTCGGTGCCGGTCCGGAGGAGGTCGACGAGCGGGTCCACGGCGCCGGCCTTGGCGATGTCGATCTTGTTGTCGGCGTTCGCAGCCAAGTTGCACAAAGCCCCCGCGGCCTGCTGCTTGGCGCCGTCGGCCCCGGTCCGGAGGAGGCCGACGAGCGGATCCACGGCGCCGGCCTTGGCGATGGCGACCTGGTTGTCGGCGTTCTGAAAAGCCAAGCTCCACAAAGTCCCCGCGGCCCGCTCCTTGGCGCCGTCGGTGCCGGCCCGGAGCAGGTCGACGAGAAGGCCGAAGTCGCCTCGAGACGCCGCCGCATCAGCCTCGGCGGCGGTCGGCGTCCCGTTGGCCGTCGACCCGGCGCTCGTCGCCGGCGCACGCACCTTGCCGAGGCCGTTCTCGCTCAACATCTGGCGGATTTCGCGGATTTCGTCGTGCGACTCTTCCGCCCGCTTCGCGTTCGCCGTCGCCAACGCCACTTGCAGGTGCTGCATGTAGCCGTCGATGTCGACTTCCGAAGAACGGCGTCCAGCATCGCTGCCGGCGGCCTTGAAGGCGCGCTCGAGAGAGCAGCGCAAATTGTCGAGAGACATCTTCACCGAGTCGTCCTCGACGGCCCGCGACGCCGCCACGCTCTGTAATATGGTGCTCAGAGCTTCGAGGTGATGCGAGAAGCGGAGCCGCTCGTCGCGATCCGGCCCGACGAGCTTAGCTTCCGCGGCCTTCCATGCCACATCGAGCGCCTTGTCTGCGACGGCGTGGCCCATGAACTCGGCGCCCATGCCCAGCACATTAGCCCGGAGGCGGTTGACGGCCTTGCCGCAGTGTTGCAGGATGCTCTTTCCCGTCACAGCCTTGACAACACCGTTCACCAATCCCGCCCCCGCGAGGACCTCCATTGCGCTTCAGGGCCACTGCTCGCGAGGCTCGCCGATGCTCGCGATGCTCGCGTGACCCCGGGCGGCGAATAGCCCCCGCCGGGACGACTTACGGCGGGTGCCGCGGAGCCCATCCACGCCTCCCTGATTATGTGAATTTCGCTGGGGCGGGGTGACCGCCGGGGTCGTCTCTCTATCGAGCGCATTAGGCGACGCACCCCGCCTACGGCTGTACGCGTATATGGATGTGCGGCCACAAAGTGGACCGCGCGTCGCACTGTCTTGCTAACGAAAAGCACTTTAGGGTTGCGCTCGCGCGTCGCCGAGGGGCATCACGCGTCGAAGAAGAGGAGGTAGGGGCAGAGCGGCGCGCCGCCGTCGTTGCGGCACTTGGCCACGACGCTCTCGAAGGAGCCGACGGGCGTGGCGTCGCGGCGGTCGTGCCACGTCCACGAGTCCGCGCGCTCGTCGCGGACGAGGGCCGTGTAGTGCGCGTCCCGGAAGACGACGACGGCGAAGAGGCCGAGGCGCTTCGCGCCGGGCTTGGGCGGGCGGAAGACGGCGGCGCCGTCGAGCGGCTTGTGCGCGAGGCGAAGCACGCCCTCGACGTCGGCGGGCGCGGGCGTCGACGTGAACCACGCGACGGAGAGCGCGAGCGCTTTCGGAGTATCGTGGATGGACACGAGGACGTCGATGGAGCCCGGCGCCTTGCAGTGGTCGCAGGACTTGGCGCAGGCCGCGTGCGCGTCGCGGAACGCGGCCTCGAGGCTGTCGCCGCGCCGCGCGGCGTCCGCGAGCGTAAACGCCGTCGCCGCGCGCGCGAGGTCCTCGAAGTCGCGGGGCGTCGTCGTCGCCTTGGCCCGGCAGGCCGCACAGGGCGCGTCGCTGATCAGGCCCGACGCGCGGAACGCCCGCGCGGCCTCGGCCGCGCGCGTGCCCTTGCAGGCGAGGAGCGCCTCGAGCAGCGCCTCGAAGACCTCGGCGACGTCGAGGTGCGCGCCGCTGGTCGAGAGGTCGCCGCGGCCGCCCTCGACGGCGCCGAGCGCGACGCGCAGGCCGTCGATGGCCGCGTCGACGTCGCCGGCGTCGCCGGCGGACAGCGCCGCGTCGAGCGCGTCGACGACGCGCAAGTGGTCCTGGCGCCGGTCTTTCGCGACGCCGACGAGGGCCCGCGGGTCGCGGAAGGCGCCGCGGAAGGTCGCGCAGCGGTGGAGCACGGCGACGATGGCGTCGAGGGAGCAGTTGCTCCGCCGCTCGACGTCGACGAGGCCCTCGGGCACCACAAAGTCGTCGTCGTCGTCGTAGGCGCCGTCGAAGGCCGGCGCCGCCGCGGCCGCGTCGGCCCGCCAGTCCCGGGCGGGGCGCGGGGCCTCGGGCGCCCACGGAGCCGCCGCGTCGAGGAGCGGCGGCAGGTCGGCCGGCGGCGGCCCGGGCGGGTCCTCCCGGAGCGGCGCCGCCAGGGGCTCGCCCGGCGCCGCGGCCCAGGCCGGGACCGGCGCCGGCGCCGCGGCGCGCGACGGCGTCAGGATCGGATCGAGACGCGGATCGAAGACGTCGTCGCGCGGCGCGGGCGGCCGCGGCGGCGACCGCGGCGCCGGCGCGCCGCGCGGCGCGCCCCAGGCCGAGGCCGGCGGCGCCGCGACGGGCGCCGGCGCCGGCGCGCCGCGCCGCGGCGGCGACCGCGGCGCCTCGCGCGGCCGCGCGTCCATGAGCTCCTGGCCCTTGCGCAGGAGCGTGCCCTTCTCGAGGCCCTTCTCGATGTAGCCGCTCAGGTCCGCGAGCTTCGAGAAGTCCGCCGACGCGAGGGCCAGCGCGCACAAAGCCTGCTTCTTCCGGTTGAGGTCTCGGAGCAAATGGTAGCAGTCCTTGGAAAGGCGGATCCCGTCGACGGCCGCGACGAGGTCCACGTTGACGCGCCCGTTCCCGAGATCATCCCGCAGCAGGCGCCCCCCCTCCTTCTTTTTCAGCTCGGCGAGGACGAACGCGTTCCGGAGCAGGACGCCGAACATGACGCCCGGGTCCGCGAGGCGCTCCGCGGCGCGGCGCTGCTGAGCGAGGCTGAGCTTTTTGAGCACCTTGGCGACGTCGGACGTGAGAGCGAGCGCGTCGGCGACGCTCCGCAGCTCGGGCGTGAGAGCGTTAAGCTCGCTCGCGGACGCCGCGAGCAGATGCTTCTCTCGGACGGCCTTCTCGACGTAAGCGTTCCGGTCCTTGACCTCGCCGAGTTCGCCGGGCGCGGCCCGCAGGAAGCGCACGCAGGCGTCGGCGTCCCGGACCGCGTAGGCCTCGAGCGCCTTGCGGCATCGGCCGTCGACGCCCTGGGCGTCGACGAAGGCCTTGACGCGGCGCTGTAGCTCGGCCTTGGGCACGCGATCGAAGGCGGACGTCGCCGCGCGCGGAGCGGCGCGGGGCCGCGGCGCCGACGCGGGCGCCGCGCCCCGGGACATGGGCCCGCGGTTCGACGCCGCCGCCTGCCGCGCCGCCGCCTCGCGGCGGTCCTCGGCGTCGAGTTGCCGCGCGAGCGCCTCGGACTCGCCCTCGAGCCGCCGCTCCTCCGCCCGCAGGCGCTCGGCGGCCTCGGCCTCCGCGCGCGCGAGGCGCCGCTCGGCCTCCTCGCGCTCGAAGCTCGCGCGCCACTCCTCGTCGGGATCGACGGCGCGCTGCTCGTCGGGGTCGTCGACGCCCCGCGACTCCTCCGCAAAGGCCGCGAAGGCGCGCTCGTTCGCCTCGGTCTCGCGCGTCTCCTCGAGGACGTCGGCGACGCGCGCCGACCAGTCGCCGACGTCGCCGTCCGTCACCTCGAGCGCCTCGAGCCGCTCGAGCAGCGCGCGCTGGATGGCCTCTGGCTCACCGAGGAGCTCGATGCACGCGCTGCCGTCGACGTCGTGCGTCTCGACGAAGCGCTTCAGGGCCGGCAGGAGCCCGCCGGCGCCCGCCGGCGACGGCGGCGACGGCGGCGGCGGCGGCGACGGCACGCGCGGCGGCGGCGGCGGCGGCGGCGGGAGGACCTCGACGCGCTTCGCGGGGCCCTTGCCGCGCCGCGCCGCAGACACGTCGACCCAGTCCTCCGAGTCGGCGTCGTCCGCGGGCGCCAGCAACGGGGGCTCCGCGGGACGCGCCACGGGCGACTGCGCCGTGGGCGTGTCGCACAGCGCCGACTTGAAAGAATCGTCCGAGTCCGAGTTCGCGTCGGCGCGGACGATTTCGCGCGCGGGACCGCTCGTCTCCGCGGCCTTCCTCGCCTCCTTGGCCTTGGCCTTCTTCTTCGCCTTCTTCTTCGCGTTCTTCTTGCTCGCGGGAGCGGGGGCGACGGCGTCCACGAAGACGTCCTCGAGCTTGTCCATGGCCTCCTCGACCTCCTTGTCGACGTCCGCCTTGGACCGCGGCGCCTCCTCCTCGCGCGGCGCGTCCTCCTTGCGCGACGCCTCCGGCGCGCGATCCGGGCCCCGAGCTTTCCGCTGCGCCACCGGATACTTCGAGATGACCTGCTCGAGGTCTCGGAGGTCCCGGGGCAACAGCTCGAGGAACGGCGCGCCGAACGACGTGAGGTCGTACTTGCGTGCGAGCTTTTGCGACGGGTGGCGCTCGCCCAGCAGCGCGACGACCGTGGCCGCGAGCGCGTTGCCGGCCGCCGCCGCGGCCTCGAGGTGCGGCACGGCCTTTGGAACCTCGCCCGCCCAGAGGTACGCCAGATCTTCGATAGCGCGTCGCGCGCTAGCTTCGGAGTCCGCGTCGTAGTCGCTAAAGTCGAGCTCGGTGAGGATCGCAAAGGACAGGGTGCGCGCGACGTCTTCGTCATCCTCGGCGTCCAGCCGTGCTGCCTTGTATGTCGTGGGCACGCCGAACATGGTCATCTTAAGACCGTCGCCTTTGAGCAACCAGTACGTGAAAAGCAGATGCGCGACGGCGAGGTGCGGATGATGCGCCATGTCCTGCCTCGCGAGGGTGATGCGCGCAAGGGACCCAAGCCGACAAATGGCGTCACGCAAGGTGAAGTCATCGGATGCGCGGTCGGAGAAGGACCGAGCGAGCGCACAGAGGCGCTTCAACAGCAGGATGTGCATAGCGTCTAAACCAGGGAGCGTCTCTCGCGCTCTCGGATAGCTCCCGACAATCGTCTGCCAGATAGACGAATCTTGGAAAATCAAGAATTTGCTGGCATCCATGATTGTCTCCAGGCTCGCTTCACGGTGGCCTCGTGCAGTCAGCGATTCGGGCCGCGGAAAGGTGCCGAGAGCTTGCGATATCTCGAACCACGCGAGTTGGGTCTTCGCGTAAGAATTTCCAAGATTCGCGAGGACCTCGAGCTTCTTCGTCGCACGCCGAGACTCATCCGTCGCAGCGGCGTCCAGCAGTGCGGTCCGGCACACGCGCACAAGGGATGGGAGCTCGGGGCGGAGCCAAAATTTCTCCGCGTCAGAGGCGGGCGCGTCGCTCGGCCCGACGCAGTGCACGACAATCTTGAGGCGAATGTCGTGGACTCTAGCGCCAAGACGAGCCGCCGCCTCCTCGACGGTAGCATCTCGGGAAATAGAGCGCATGGGCTCACCGTTGCAAGAAGCCGAGATCTCGCTCGTCGGCTGCTCAGCCCAGTCAAGAAGCTGCCGAAGGTGCGACACTAGATTTTCTTCGCTTTGCTTGAGGCTGTTCGATTGCAGGTAAGCACCGTCTTGCAGAGCAAACACCGCGAAACTTTGGAGTAACTTGAAGAACGTACGAATAGGACCCTGACGGACTTCAGTGCGCTGAAACAAGGAGTCGCCGCTGCCGCTGACGACGGACACGGCAATGAGCACCTGATCGGCCTGGGTCTGCGCGGCGCAGCTCACGTGGCAAACGATGAAGCGCGATGATTTGAGCGGCTGCAACGCCTCACGGAGAGTACCGTTCGCGAGCGTGAGCGTGGTGCCCTTGAGTCTCTCAGAAATGCCAAATTGGTCTGCCAAATCGGAAGCGAAGCGTTCACGCTCGGAGGCCTCGCGCAACTTCGCGTAGTGCGCGGAGATGCGAAACACCGAGCCCTTCAAGACGTCTTCTGCGCGCAGGCCCGGCGCTCCCTCCTGAGCTCCCGCGATGGTGCGACATGCCAGCTCTGCCTGGGTCGTTTCCAGAAGCGCGTCGTCGATCTCGAAGAACTTGCGCGCTACCGAACCCTTGGGGCCAACACACAGCATGAGCAGGCACCGGTCGCTTCCTGCGCCGTCTGCGTCCGGAGAATCGTAAATGAGCACCATGGTGACCTTGCTGGGGGCCGATTCGCTTTTAACGAGATTCAAGGACTCATCGAGGTCGTCGATTCGGATCGGATCTCCATCGTCGACCACGACCGCGAACTGCACGGTCTCGAGGACGCTTTCGGGAGCGCCAGCCGCGAAGAGGAGCCGCAGCAATTCCAACCCCGGCTCATATGACTGCTCGCTGGACACATCCTCCATGACCTCCAGCCAATCCTTGACGATCGCCAGAGCGGAACCGTTGAGAATCGACTTCTCGCGCGTGATCATAGCTCTGCCCGTATGCGTATCAGGGATGGGACCGCTCGAAGCTCGGACAGACACAAAGACTTTCGTGTACTGGAACGCTTCACCTGGGAAGGTCACCCCGAGGCAGTACTCGCTCGCAGGCTCGGGATCGCCCGGCGGCAGGACGTCGACCATGGATTCGGACATACGCACAACCTTCAAAGATGGATCGTTTCGGTCCAGGGAGTCAAAACAACCACCTCGCAGGAAGTCAGCCATCGAGGATGCATTAGGCGCTTTCCAGAGCATGGCGCGACTCGGGAACTGCACGTCGGCGAGGGCGCCGAGTTCCTTAGCTTCGAGGCAACACTTGGCGATGCCGTAGAAGGAGTCATTCATTACAGCTGGAATGAGCGACAAGGCAGACAGTCTTCCCGGCAACGGTCCCAGATCATCTGAAAGTTGGACGTAGATGTGACTTTCCGACTTCATCTTTTTCCCGAGTTTGTCCGAGAGCAGCTTGTGCCAGCTTTCGCCTTTCTTGGCCACAACGAGCATGTGGCATGTGGCGCCACGGACATCATCGGACGCGTCCAGGACGACAGGAGAGGAGAGCGGCTGCAAAGAGCGCGTACGACGACCTCCCGCACGAGTCTCGAGCTCGGAGTACACTCGTAGAATTCCGTCCGACTCTAAGTCGCCGAGCACATCAAGGAGGTGGGGCACGAGGCCGGGGAGATGCTCGGGCGGAATGTTGGACAGCAGCTTGCGGGTGATCAGAGTCGCCAAGTGCGCGCCGCACTTCGTGTTGACGAACGACTCGGGCGACACGTGGAGGCTCAGCTCCTCTGTTTGGACCCCGGGCTGGGTCACCTCAATTCGCAGGCGGACCTGAGGCCGCTCGACAAGGAGTACGTGGCATTTGCGCCGGCCGCGGCGCGGGTCGACGACCTCGGAGATGCTCGCTAAAGCATTCACGCGCTCGAGGAGACCCCCGTGGTAGTCGCGCTCGAGCGCCGGCATAAGTGACTCCGTAGCCTGGGCGCTGTACTCCGACGCGACGAAAAAATCCAGGTCCTGAGCGCCTAGCTCGGTCAGCGACCGTGTCGCGTCCTTCTTCCGTGCGAGATGGATCGCAAGCTCGTAGCAGTTGGAATTAGAATCGCCCGCCCGTTGGGCGCTGATCAAACCAAGCACGTCGAAGCGTGTCGTCTCCTCGTGCAAGCGCGCATGCATGACAAGCAGCCGCGCGTCCGCCTCGGGGATTCGCGGTCGTAAAATGAATAGCGACGTCTCGGTGACGACGTCGTCGAGCTCGACGGGCACGGAGTCCAACTCGTCGTCGCTGTCGAGCGGCTCTCGGTACGCCACGATCTTGTCGCGCAGGTTGTCGCCGGACAAATTGATCTGGTCGCCGTGCTTCTCGAAGAGCGCGTCTGCAAAGGACTGGACCGTGCGACCCGAACGCACGTGCGACGTCAAACGGTCGAGAAGCCCGTCGGTTAGCACATCCTCATCGGCCCCGAGCCACTGCACCCCGACGTCGAAGTCGCCCCCCGACCCCGGCATGGTAGAACTGCGCGCGACTCGAGCAAGAGCGCCGCTGTCCTGCTGCGCGCGGTTCGGCGACCCGACGCCACAGCCACCTCGAGGGACGGCCAGACGTCTCCCGAACGCCTTCCCAAGGCCTTCCCCGGAGGAGTCCTCCCGAGAGGGTTCTACGGTGGCCAGACCTTCGAAGGTCGGAGCTCGAGCGATGTTAGAAAAACCGCGACCCCGGGAATCGGGCGAGGAGGTCACGCGGGCGCGTCGTAAAAGAGGAGGTAGGGGCAGAGCGGCGCGCCGCCGTCGTTGCGGCACTTGGCAACCATGCTCTCGAAGGAGCCGACGAGCGTGACGTCGCGGCGGTCGTACCACGTCCACGCGTCCGCGCGCTTGTCGCGGACGAGGGCCGTGTAGTGCGCGTCCTGGAAGACGACGACGGCGAAGAGGCCGAGGCGGCGCGCCGGCTTCGCGCCGGGTTTGGGCTCGTCGAAGACGCCGGCGCCGTCGAGCGGCTTGTGCGCGAGGCGGAGCACGCCCTCGACGTCGGCGGGCTCGGGCGTCGACGTGAACCAAGCGACGGACAGCGCGAGCGCTTTCGGAATATCGTGGATGGCCACGAGGACGTCGACGGAGCCCGGCGCCTTGCAGTGGTCGCAGGACTTGGCGCAGGCCGCGTGCGCGTCGCGGAAGGCGGACTCCAGGCTCGCGCCGCGCCGCGCGGCGTCGGCGAGCGTGAACGCCGTCGCCGCGCGCGCGAGGTCCTCGAAGTCGCGGGGCGTCGTCGTCGCCTTGGCCCCGCAGGCCGCGCAGGGCGCGTCGCTGATCAGGCCCGACGCGCGGAACGCCCGCGCGGCCTTGGCCGCGCGCGTGCCCTTGCAGGCGAGGAGCGACTCGAGCAGCGCCTCGAAGACCTCGGCGACGTCGAGGTGCGCGCCGCTCGTCGAGAGGTCGCCGCGGCCGCCCTCGACGGCGCCAAGCGCGACGCGCAGGCCGTCGATGGCCGCGTCGACGCCGCCGGCGTCGCAATCGTCGACGGCGAACAGCGCCACCTCGAGCGCGTCGATCACACGCGCGTGGTCCCGGCGCTGGTCACCCGCGACGCCGACCACGGTCCGTGGATCGCGGAAGGCGCCGCGGAAGGTCGCGCAGCGGTGGAGCACGGCGACGATGGCGTCGAGGGAGCAGTTGCTCCGCCGCTCGACGTCGACGAGGCCCTCGGGCACCACAAAGTCGTCGTCGTCGTCGTAGGCGCCGTCGAAGGCCGGCGCCGGCGCCGGCGCGGGCGCCGCGGCGCGCCAGTCCCAAGCCGAGTCGCCGGGGCGCGGGGCTTCGGGCTCCGGGCTCCACGCACCCGCCGCTGCGAAGAGCGGCGGCACGTCGGCGTGCGGCGGCGGCGGCGACCCGGGCGGGTCCTCGCGTGACCAGAGCGGCGCCGGCGCGGGCTCGTGCGACGCCGCGGTCCAGGCCGGGACCGGCGCCGGCGCCGCTGCGGGCGACGGCGGCGGAATCGGATCGAGGCCGTCGCCGCGCTGCGGGGACGGCGGAGGGAGCGACGACCACGGCGAAGCCGGCGCCGGCTCGCTGCGCGGCGCACCCCAGGCCGAGACTGGCGGCGCGGCGACGGGCGCCGGCGCCGGCGCGCCGCGCCGCGGCGGCGACCGCGGCGCCTCGCGCGGCCGCGCGTCCATGAGCTCTCGGCCCCTGCGCAGGAGCGTGCCCTTCTCGAGGCCCTTCTCGACGTAGCCGCTCACGTCCGTGATTGTGGACAAGTCCGCGGATTCGAGGGCCAGCGCGCAAAAACCTTGGCCTTTCGGATTGAGGTCTCGGAGCTTTCGGTAGCAGCGCTTGGAGAGGCGGAGCCCGTCGAGGGCCGCGACGAGGTCCGCGTCGACGGAGGCCCCGTGGCCGTCCCGCAGGAGGCAGCCCTGCTTCTGCTTCTTCAGCTCGGCGAGTATGAAGGCGTTGCGCGCGAGGACGCCGAACATGACGCCCGGATCCGCGAGGCGCTCCGCGGCGCGGCGCTGCTGAGCGAGGCTGAGCTGTCTGAGCGCCTTGGCGACGTCGGACGTGAGCGCGAGCGCGTCGACGATGTCCCGCAGCTCGGGCGCGAGGGCCTTGAGCTCGCTCGCGGACGCCGCGAGTAAGAACTTGCCGTGGATGGCGCTCAGCACGTAGGCGTTCTGGTCGTCGACGCTGCCGAGGTCGCCGGGCGCGGCCCGCAGGAAGCGCACGCAGGCGTCGGCGTCCCGGACCGCGTAGGCCTCGAGCGCCCTACGGCACTTGCCGTCGACGCCCTGGGCGTCGACGAAGGCCTTGACGCGGCGCTGGAGCTCGGCCTTGGGCACGCGGTCGAAGGCGGACGTCGCCTGGCGCGGAGCGGCGCGGGGCCGCGGCGCCGGCGCGGGCGCCGCGCCCCAGGACCTGGGCCCGCGGCCCGCCGCCGCCGCCTGCCGCGCCGCCGCCTCGCGGCGGTCCTCGGCGTCTAGTTGCCGCGCGAGCGCCTCGGACTCGCCCTCGAGCCGCCGCTCCTCCGCCCGCAGGCGATCGGCGGCCTCCGCCTCCGCGCGCGCGAGGCGCCGCTCGCTCTCCTCGCGCTCGAAGCTCGCGCGCCACTCCTCCTCGGGGTCGACGACGCCCTGCGCCTCCTCCGCGAAGGCGCGCTCGTTCGCCTCGTTCTCGCGCGTCTCCTCGAGGAAGTCGGCAACAACCGCCGACCAGTCGCCGACGTCGCCGGCCGTCGCCTCGAGCTTCTCTAGCCGCTCGAGAAGCGCGCGCTGGATGGCGTCCGTCTCGTCGAGGATGCACGCGGTGTCGTCGACACTGTGCGTCTCGACAAAGCGCTTCAGGGCCGGCAGGAGCCCATCGGCGCCGGGCGACGACGGCGACGGCGGCGGCGGCGGCGACGGCACTCGCGGCGGCGGCGGCGGCGTAGGCGGCGGCGGCGAGGACTCGACGCGCTTGGCGGCGCCCTTGCCGCGCCGCGCCGCAGACACGTCGACCCAGTCGTCGGAATCGGCGCCGTCCGCGGGCGCCACTAGCGGCTCCGAAGGAGGCGCCGCGGGCGATCGCGCCTTGGGCGTCTCACACAGCGCCGACTTGAACGATTCGTCCGAGTCCGAGTGCGCGATCGACGCGCTGCCGTGGGCGTCGCGCGCGGCCACGCTCGTCTCCTCGGCCTTCGCCTCCTTGGCCTTGGCCTTCTTCTTCGCCTTCTTCTTCGCGTTCTTCTTGCTCGCGGGAGCGGGGGCGACGGCGTCCACGAAGACGTCCTCGAGCTTGTCCATGGCCTCCTCAATCTCCTTGTCGACCTCCGCCTTGGACCGCGGCGCCTCCTCCTCGCGCGGCGCGTCCTCGTTGCGCGACGCCTCCAGCGCGCGATCCGGGCCCCGAATTTTCCGCTGCGCCACCGGATACTTCGAGATGACCTGCTCGAGGTCCCGGAGGCCCCGGGGCAACAGCTCGAGGAACGGCGCGCCGAACGCGGTGAGGTCGTACTTGCGCGCCAGCTTTCGCGACGGGGGACCCGCGCGCAGCCGCTCGACGACCGCCGCCGCGAACGCGTTGCCGGCCGCCGCCGCGGCTTCGAGGTGCTTCTCAGACGACGGATTCTTTCCCATCCAGAGCACCGACAGATCTTCAAGAGCCTGTCGCACGCGAGCTTCGGAGTCCGCGTCGTAGTCGCTAAAGTCGTGCTTTGGGAGGATCGCGCGCGAGAGACAAAACGCGACGTCTTTGTCGTCGTCGGGAACCAGCGGTGCCTTGGCGAAGTTCACCGGAATGCCAAACATCGTCAGACGCTTGCCATCGCCATCGAGCAGCGAAAATGCAAAAAGCAGATGTGCGACGGCGAGGTGCGGATGCGTACGCATGTCTTGAGGGACGAGAGTCGTGCGAGCGTAATACGAGAACTCACCGATCATTTTGCAGCATTGGTCATTACTCTCTTTGGATTTTACAGCGTCGACGCTGGACTGAATCAGTGAGCACATCCGCTTCAATCGCAGAATGTGTACCGCGTCGAAGGCAGAAACCAGATCTCGGCGCGGGTAGCTTTCGAGAATCGTCGCCAAGATCGTAGAATCTTGGACCACCGAAAAGCTATCGTTTGTGAGAGTCTCAAGGCACATATCACGGTAGCGCCGCGCTTTCAGTGAGTCCGGCCGAGGGAAAGTGCCGAGGGCTCGCGACACCTCGAACCACTTGAGCTGCGCCTCCGCGTACGGATTTCCGATACGCGCGAGGACGCCGAGCTTCTTCGTCGCACGCTCAGACTCATCCGTCGCGACGCCGTCAGCCAGCGCGGCCCAGCACACGCGCACGAGTGGGGGGATCTCTGGGCAGAGCCAAAATCTCTCCGCCTCCGAGGCGGGCGCGTCGCTCGGTCCAACGCAATGCACGACGATCTCGAGGCGAACGTCGTAGACCTGAGTGCCGAGACGCGCCGCCGCCTCCTCGATGCCATCATTTATGCCGATAGAGCGCATGGGCTCGCCGTTGCAAGACGCGGATCGCTCGCTCGCCGGGTCCAGGACCCAATTTATAAGTTGCCGAAGGTGCGGTTGAATTTCATCTTGCGTACGCTTGGATCGATAGTAGAATCGTTTTTGTAGAGTCCAGTTCGCGGCAGCTATGAGTAAACTCCCAAAGCCTTGGTTTCGCGCGGAAGCGACGAGATGGACTCCAGCGTGCTGCAGGATGGAGTCGCCGCGGCCGTTGACGACCGACACGGTCGCGAACAATTCCGGGGACCGACTCGGCGCGGCGTGACTCGCGTGGCACACGATGAAGCGTGAGTTCCTGGGAACAACCTCCATCGCCTCGCGGAGAGTGTCGCTCGCGAGCGTGAGCTTGGCGCCCTTGAGTAATTCCGATGAGCCATTGTGATTTTCCAAGCCCGACGCGACGTTTTTACGGTCGATCGGCGCGCGCGCGTCCGCGTAGTGCGCGGACATGCGGAAGATTGAATGCTGCACGACGTCTTCTACACGGAGGTTCCCACGAGCTGCCCCGAGAGTGCGACATGCGAGCTCCGCCTGGGTCGTCTCCAGAAGCGCGTCGTCGATGTCGAAGAACTTGCGCGCGATCGAGCCTTTCGGGCCGACGCACAGCATGAGCAGGCATTTCTCCGCACCCGCTCCTTGGTTGGAGTCGTAGATGAGCTCAACGATGACCCCGGCCGGCCTTCCGGCCTCTGTGAGCTTCAAGTCCTGATACACGTCGTCGTCGAGGTCTATCGCATCATCGTTGTCGACCTTGACCGAAAACTTCATATGCGGGAGAAACGTCGCCGTGGACCTCGGATTCAGGAGACAGCTCACGACGTGGACTGTCGCGTCCCGCGACTTTTCGGCGGGCCCGTTCACCTCCAGCCAGTTCTCGAGGAGGTCGAAGACGGAGCCGTCGAGATGCTGTTTCTCGCGCGTCACCATGCAGTTAGGAGGTTCGAAGAGTTGGCCGGTCTGAACTCGAAGAACGACATGGACCTCCGTCGCCGGGAGCACAAGACCGGACAGGATCACCTCGAGGCAATACTCGCTCTCGGGCCCGCGGTCGCCTCGCGACGGCGGGACGTCGAGCATGGAGTCGGACATGAGCACATCCTGGAGCGACGGGTCGTCCTTGTGCAGCGACTTGAAGCCATCCGAAGATAAGAAGTCGTGCAGCGACGGTCCGCGCTCGACCGCGGTCCAGAGCCTCGCGTGCTGCGGAAGCTGAAGGTCGCGGACGACGTTCGCGTCCTCGATCGCGCGGGCGAGGGAGAACTTCGCGATGCCTTTGAATGGCATGCCCATCATGCCGCTTCGCAACGTGATCGTCTTCGGGTCGTGTAAGGGTCCGAGGTCGTCAGAGAATTGGATCTTGAGCGTGCCTCGCGACGGCCGTTCCTGCCATGCCTTGAGTTTCTCCATGAGCACCACGAGCCACGATTTTTCGCCTCGCTCAATCTCGACGTGAATGAAGCACTGGGCGCCGCAGAGATCGTCGCGCGGATCCGGGACGACGGGAGCGGACAGCCGCAGCGGAGAACGCGGGCCGCGGCCGCCTTCGCGAGTCTCGAGCTCGGAGTACGCCGTCAGATAGCCGTCGCTCTCGAGGTCCAGCAGCACGCCTTGCAGGTCGGTCAGAGACGTCGCCGGGATCGCTGCATCAGCAGCGTTGTCGAGAAGCGCGAGCCTGACGGACTCTGCCACATACGTCACGCACTTGGCGCCGACGACCTCGTCGGGCTGCCGAGGCGGCAACTCCAGTGCAACGTCTTCGGCGCCAGGCTGGATAGCCACTACGCGCAGGCGCATACGGGCTGACTCGAAGAGCAGCACGTGGCACGCGCGCCGGCCGCGACGCGCCTCGACGACCTCGGAGACGCTCGCGGAGCCGTCCACGCGGACGTAGCGATCCAGACCGGCCTTGTAGTCCGAACCGAGGGAGGTGTGGATGGAACCCCGATCCTCGGCGCGGGCGCTGTACTCCGACGCGGCGAAAAAATCCAGGTCGCGAGGATCGTGCGCTCGGCCCGGCGCGAGCGTCGTCGCGAGTTCGCCGCAGGTGCCCGGGGCGATCTCGGCCACGGACATCTCGCGCAGGAGGTGAACCTTCACGGCGCCCTTCTCCGCGAGCGCGTACGCGACGAAAAGGACCGCGTCAGCGTCCGGGACGCGCGGTCGGAAAGTCAGGAGCGACGACTCCGCGACGACGTCGTCGAGCTCGACGGGCGCGGCCTCCTCGTCGTCGTCGATGTCCAACGACTCGCGGTACGCGACGATCGTGTCGCTCAGGCTCTGTGCGTCGCCGGATAGATTCAACTTGGCGCCGTGCTTCTCGAAGAGGGCGTCCGCAAAGGACTGGACCGTGCGACCCGAGTGCACGCTCGATGTCAAGCGCTCGAGAAGCTCGTCGTCTAGCGGATCCTCGTCGTCCCCGAGCCACTGCACCTCGACGTCGAAAGCGCCCCCCGACCCCGGCATGGTCTCGGACTTCAGCTCGAGCACTTCGGTGCTCCCTGTGACCTCGAGCTCAACACGCCCTGGGCCCAAGCGGGCCTCGCCGATGGCGCCGCGGCGCACGCGTCCCCGAGGAGTCGCGACGACGTTCCTCGTCGTAGGAGTGCGCGGAGCGACCTCCGATAGAGAAGCTGGAGCTCGAGCGATGTTTTAAAAAACGGACGACCCGGGGGCCGAGGCGCGTCACGCGGGCGCGTCGTAGAAGAGGAGGTAGGGGCAGAGCGGCGCGCCGCCGTCGTTGCGGCACTTGGCCACGACGCTCTCGAAGGAGCCGACGAGCGTGACGTCGCGGCGGTCGTACCACGTCCACGCGTCCGCGCGCTTGTCGCGGACGAGGGCCGTGTAGTGCGCGTCCTGGAAGACGACGACGGCGAAGAGGCCGAGGCGGCGCGCCGGCTTCGCGCCGGGTTTGGGCTCGCGGAAGATGCCGGCGCCGTCGAGCGGCGCGTGCGCGAGGCGGAGCACGCCCTCGACGTCGGCGGGCTCGGGCGTCGACGTGAACCACGCGACGGACAGCGCGAGCGCGCGCGGGACCTGGCCGATGTCGATGACGACGTCGACGGAGCCCGGCGCCTTGCAGTGGTCGCAGGACTTGGAGCAGGCCGCGTGCGCGTCGCGGAAGGCGGATTCCAGGCTCGCGCCGCGCCGCGCGGCGTCGGCGATCGTGAACGCCGTCGCCGCGCGCGCGAGGTCCTCGAAGTCGCGGGGCGTCGTCGTCGCCTTGGCCCCGCAGGCCGCGCAGGGCGCGTCGCTGAGCACGCCCAACGCGCGGAACGCGTAGGCCGCGTCCGCGGCGCGCGTGCCCTGGCACGCGAGGAGCGACTCGAGCAGCGCCTCGAAGACCTCGGCGACGTCGAGGTGCGCGCCGCTCGTCGAGAGGTCGCCGCGGCCGCCCTCGACGGCGCCGAGCGCGACGCGCAGGCCGTCGATGGCCGCGTCCAGGGCCTCGTCGTGGTGGTCGTCGACGGTGGTCAGCGCCACCTCGAGCGCGTCGAGCACACGCACGTGGTCGTCGCGGGCGGCCCCGGGCGTGACGCCGATGACGCCGCTCGGGGACCGCGGGCTGCTAAATTCGCGCCGGAAGGTCGCGCAGCGGTGGAGCACGGCGACGATGGCGTCGAGGGAGCAGTTGCTCCGCCGCTCGACGTCGACGAGGCCCTCGGGCACCACAAAGTCGTCGTCGTCGTCGTAGGCGCCGTCGAAGGCCGGCGGCGGCGGCGCCGCCGCTCCCGCCGCGGGCCAGTCCCAGGGCGAGGCCGCGACGCCGGAGGCCGCGACGCTCGGCGGCGGGCCCCACGCGGACGCGGGCTGGTCGAGAAGCGGCGGCACGTCGTCGGGCGGCGTCGGCGAAGGCGACCGCGGCGGCTCCTCGCGCGTCGAGGGTGCGGCCGCCGCGGGCTCAAGCCAGGCCGAGGCCGGCGGCGGCGCCGGGGAGAGAAGAGGCCGCACGATCGCATCGAGGAGCGATTCGACGTCGCCGCCTCCGCGCGGCGGCGACGGCGGCGGCGACCGCGGCGACCGCGGCGGCGACGGCCGGGCGATGCGCGGCCAGGGCGACGCCGGCGCGGGCTCGCGCGGCGCGGCGAGCGGCGGCGGCGCGGCGGCGGGCTCGGGCCGCGCCGCAGAGGACGACGGCGCCGGCTCGCGGCGCGAAGCGGCCCGGGCCGAGGCCGACGGCGCCCAGGCGGCGGGCGGCGGCGCGGCGGCGACGCGCGGCGGCGACGGCGGCGCCTCGCGCGGTCGCGCGGCCACGAGCTCGTGGCCCTCGCGAAGGAGCGTGCCCTTCTCGAGGCCCGTCTCGATGTAGCCGCTCACGTCCTTGATTGTGGACAAGTCCGCGGACTCGAGCGCCGCCGCGCAGAGGGCCTGGCGCTCGGGGTCGAGATCTCGGAGCGCCCGGTAGCAGTCCTTCGATAAGCGGCGGCCGTCGAGGGCCGCGACGAGCGCCGCGTCGACGGACGGCCGCCCGAGATTGTCCCGCAGGAGATCGGCCATCTCCCGTTTCTTGAGATCGATGAGTATGCGGCCGTTGCGGTTGAGCACGCCGAACAGAACGCCCCCCGGGTCCGCGAGGCGCTCCGCGGCGCGGCGCTGCTGATCGAGGCTGAGCTTTTTCAGCGCCTTGGCGACGTCGGACGTGAGCGCGAGCGCGTCGGCGACGCGCCGGAGCTCGGGCGCGAGGGCCTCGAGCTGGCTCGCGGACGCCGCGAGCAGAAATGTGCTCTTGGCGGCGTGCTGTGACACCCAGGAGCTCCGTTCGTCGACCGGAACGTTGCCGATCTCGCCGGGCGCGGCCCGCAAAAAGCGCACGCAGCCGTCGGCGTGCCGCGCCGCGTAGCGCTCGAGCGCCGCGCGGCAGCCGTCATCGAGGCCCTCAGCGTCGGCGAAGGCCTTGGCGCGCCGCTGGACCTCGGCCTTGGACACGGGCGCGTCGAAGGCGGACGTCGTCCGGCGCGGAGCGGCGCGGGGCGGCGGCGCGGCGGCGGGCTCGGGCCGGGCGATGTGCGGCCAGGGCGACGCCGGCGCGGGCTCGCGCGGCGGCACGACGGCGGGCTCGAGCCGGGCCTCGACCGGCGGCGGCGCGGCCGGCGCCGGCTCGCGGCGCGGCGCGGCCCGGGCCGAGGCCGGCGGCGCCGAGGCGGCGGGCGGCGGCGGCGGCGGCGCGGCGCGACGCGGCGGCGACGGCGGCGCCTCGCGCGGTCGCGCGGCCACGAGCTCGTGGCCCTTGCGCAGGAGCGTGCCCTTCTCGAGGCCCTTCTCGATGTAGCCGCTCACGTCCTTGATTGTGGACAAGTCCGCGGACTCGAGGGCCAGCGCGCAGAGGGCCTGGCGCTCGGGGTCGAGATCTCGGAGCGCCCGGTAGCAGTGGTTCGATAAGCGGCGGCCGTCGAGGGCGGCGACGAGCGCCGCGTCGACCGACGGACGCCAGAGCTTCTCCTGCAGGAGATTGCCCGTCTTCCCGTTCTTGAGATCGGCGAGGATCCAGCCGTTGCGGGAGAGCGTGCCGAACAGCAGCCCCCCCGGGTCTGCGAGGCGCTCCGCGACGCGGCGCTGGTCGACGCGGCTGAGAGGCTTGAGCGCCCTGGCGACGTTGGACGTGAGCGCGAGCGCGTCGGCGACGCGCCGGAGCTCGGGCGCGAGGGCCCCGAGCTCGCTCGCGGACGCCGCGAGCAGGTACTCGGCCTTGATGGCGCTCATGACGAAGGCGCTCCGTTCGTCGACCGGAACCCTGCCGACGTCGCCGGGCGCCGCACGCAGGAAGCGCACGCAGCCGTCGGCGTCCCGCGCCGCGTAGCGCTCGAGCGCCGCGCGGCAGCCGTCGTCGAGGCCCTCGGCGTCGGCGAAGGCCTCGAGACGCCGCTGGAGCTCGGCCTTGGACACGGGCGCGTCGAAGGCGGACGTCGTCCGGCGCGGAGCGGCGCGGGGCCGCGGCGCCGGGGCCGCCGGCGCCGCCGCGACCCGGGGCGCCGGGCCGCGGCCCGGCGGCGCCGACGGCCGCGACGCGCGCTGCTCCTCGGCCGCGAGGCGTCGCGCGAGCGCCTCGGACTCGCCCTCGAGCCGCCGCCGCTCCGCCTCCTTCCGCGCGGCCTCCTCGGCCTCCGCGCGCTCGAGGCTCCTCGCCGCCGCCTCGGCGGCGCGCCGCGACTCCGCGGCCGCGGCGGCGCGCCGCGACTCCTCCGCGTACGCGCGCTCGGCCGCCTCGTCGGCGTCGGCGGCGCGGCGCGCTTCCTCCGCCTCGGCGGCGCGGCGCGATATTTCCGCCTCGGCGGCGCGCCGCGACGCCTCCGCGACGGCGCGCTCGGCCGCTTCGTCCGCCTCGGCGGCGGACGGCGACGGCGGCGGCGACGGCGCGCCCGGCGGCGGCGCGGCCGGCGGCGTGGCCTCGATGCGCTTGGCGCCGCCCTTGCCGCGGCGCGGCGCGGCCACGTCGACCCAGTCGTCGAAGTCGTCGCCGTCCGCGGCGGCCCCGAAGGGCTCCGAGGGGGCCACGGGCGACTCCAGCGCCGGCGACGTCGTAAGACTCGCGTCGGAATCCGAATCCGAATCGCTCGACGCGACCCCGTCGGCGCCGCGCGCGGCGACGGGCGCCGCATCGCGCCGGGACGTCTCCTCGATGTCCTCGCGCGCGGAGCTCATGGCCTCCTTCGCCTTCGCCTTCTTCTTCTTCGTCTTCTTCGGCTTCTTCTTCTTCGCCGCGTGACCGCCGCCCGCGCCCTGGGCCGGCACGTCGAAGCTCGCGGACGCCTCCGCGCGCTCCGCGTCGATGTCCTTCTGGGATCGCGACGCCGACGCCTCCGCGCGGCCCGGCGCGCGCGACCGGCCCGACTCGCGGAGCTCCGGCACCGGGTACTTCGAGATGGCCTGCTCGAGGCCCTGGAGACCCGGCGGCAAGAGCTCGAGGAACTTGACGCCGAACGTCGTGAGGTCGTACTTGCGCGCGAGCTTTTTTGAAGGGTGGCCCGCGCGCAGCCGCGCGAGGACCGCGGCTGCGAACGCGTTGCCGGCCGCCGCCGCCGCGTCGAGGTGCGGCACGGCTTTCGGGGCCTTGGCCACCCAGAGGAACGCGAGATCCTCGAGCGCGCGTCGCGCGTCGGCGCCGGAGCCCTCGTCGTAATCGCGAAAGTCGTGCTCGCACAGGATCGTGTGCGACAGGCAATTCGCGAGCTCCTCGTCGTCCTGGACCACGCTCTCCTGGAGCTTCATGGTGAGGCCGAACATCTGAATCAACTTCCCGCCGCCCTCGAGCAGCCAGTACGTGAAGAGCAGGTACGCGACGGCGAGGTGCGCGTGCGAGCCCATCTGCGGGCTCCGCCGCTCGCGCGCGGCCCGCATGAGCCGATTGATGAAGTCAGCGCTCTCTTGCTGGAGTGGCTTCGCGCCGACCGCGTTCGCGTGGTCGGCGTAGGACCGCACCCACTGACAGATGCGCTTCAGCTGCAGGATCTTCAGCGCGTCGAAGGCCGCGAGCTCGTCGCGCGCGCGCGGGTAGCTCTCCGCCAGAGTGTCGCGGAAGCGCGACGATTCGAGGGACGACGCGTCCGTCAGGGTGAGCGCCTCGATGCTCGTGCCAAAGTACTCCAGCGCGGTCACCGACGCGGGCTGGGGGAAGGTGCCGAGCGCCTTGGACATGTCGAGCCACGCGAGCTGCTTCTTGAGGTAGTCGTTGCCGAAGCTCCTCGCGACGACCTGCAGCCGCTTGAGCGCCCGCTCCGACTCGGCCGTCACAGTGCCGGTGGCCACGGCCGCCCAGCACGCGTCCACGAGCGGGGGCAGCTCCGGGCGCAGCCAATACGCCTCGGCCTCGGACGCGGGCGCGTCGCGGCGCCCGAGGCTCCGCATGACGACCGTGAGGCGGACGTCGCAGACCGGAGCGCCGAGACGCCACGCGGCTTCCTGGACGGTGTCCGAATACTTGACAAGACGCGCGGGCTCGCCATTACACGATGCATAGATCTCCGTCGTGTGCAACAAGCTCCAGCTCATCAGCTCTTTGTATCGAGCGTTGCCGCCGTCGCGCGGGTTCTTCGTGTTCGCGTACGTGCCCTCGGCGAGCGCTTTCGTCGCAGCTTTGGCCAAAAGCGCGGGGAAGGGGAGCTTCGGGGAGCTCGCGATCGTGATGCATTCGGTTCGCCGCAGCGCGGGCTCGTCGTCGCCGTTGACGACCGACACGGTCACGCACGTGCTCCCGGGTCGCGCGTGCGCGAAACACGCCGCGTTGCAGATGAGGAAGCTCGAGCGCTCGGGGAACCCTCGCATCGCGTCGCGCAGGGAGCCGCTCGAGAACGTCAGCTTCGACCCCGCGATGCACGGCCCCTTGAGCTCGGTCAACTGGGTCGCGAGCGTCCGGCGGGCGGCCGCGTCGCGCTCGTCCGCGAACTTGTCGGACACGCGAAACACGGAGTTCTTCAGGACATCCTCGGGTCGGAGGGTCGTCGCGCCTCCCGCGGCCTCTTCCAAGGTTCGCAGCGCGAGGTCGACCTGCGACGTCGCCAGGAGCGCGTCGTCGACGTCGAAGAACTTGGTCGCGACCGACCCCCGCGGGCCGACGCACACCATGAGCAGGCATCGCCGCGCGCCCGCGCCGTCGTGCCGCACGGCGTTGACGTCGCACGTGAGCACGAAGTGGAATCGACGGGAGACTTGGGAGTCGTCCGCGACCTTGATCGGAGCCGCGGCGTCGCCGACGACGGCGGGCGCGCCGCCGTCGGTCGCGACCGTGATCGCGAGCTGCGGGAGCAGCGCGCCGCTGAGGCCGGGATTCATGAGGCGGCGCAGGAGCTCGACGGCCAGGCTCGGCTCGGCGGGCCCGTTCCGCTCGGATTCTTCGCTCAAGTTCAGCCAGATCTCCAGGAGCTCGAGGGCCGATTTGTCGAGCGCGTCCGCCGTCCGCGTGGCCATCGTAGGATTGGCATCGACGACCGAGGTGCCGCTCAGGTCCCGCACAGTGACTTCGATGAGCGTGTGCGGGAGCATGCGGCCGGGCAGTTTCACCTCGAGGCAATGATGGCCCGCGGGCCCGGACGTCGGCACGGCGTCTCGCACGCGATCGGACAGCTGCACGGTCGTGAGAGAAGGGTCGTCGTCGTCCAGCGTCTGGAAATCGCCGATGCGCACAAAATGATGCATCGCGGCTTCATTCGGCGCGGTCCAGAGTCGCGCGGGTCCCGATAGCTTGACGGACTGGTTCGTCTTTTGTTTGAGCACGGCCTGCGCGATGCCTCCGAAAGATTCCTCCAGGCACGCGCGGCTCAATGATGCCGTACAAGTTGATGGCATCCCCCCGACATCGTCACTAATCAGCACGGCGAGGCTGCCGATGCGGTCATCGCGTCCGTCGAGCGCCTCCGGGTCGAGAGCGGAGCCAAAAAGCGACTTGTAGAATGGACTGGGACCCTGGAATTCGAGGGTCAGGAGCAGCGCGGCGCCTTGCAGATCACTGGACCCATTCAGAATGAAAGGAGAGGACAGCGGCTGCAAGGTGCGCGGGCCGCGGACGCCTCGCCGAGTCTCGAGCTCGGAGTACGCCTTCAGGTCTCCGATCGACTCCAGTTTGAAGAGCTTCTCAGGCAAATGGCGTAGGACACCGATTCGAGTAGGATCATCAAGGGTGTTGGCATCTTTCAAGACTTGGTCCATCATACGCACAAAGTACGTGGCGCACTCGGCGCCGACGAGCTCTTCCGGCGCGTAAATATAAGTCTGCACATCAAACTTCACGCCGTCCTGCAATAACTTAACGCGCACATGCACACAGGGCTGCTCGAAGAGGAGCACGTGCGCGTGGCGCCGGCCGCGCCGCGGCTCGACGACCTCGGAGACGCTCGCGGATGCCTCCACGCGGACGAAGCGATCGGCCAGGTAGTCATCTGCGAGCGTCGTCTTAACAAGCTTGACGTCCTGGTCGCTGTATCCCGCCGCGACGAAAAAATCCAGGTCCTCACGCGGCGTATCGTCCGGCGCGAATTGCTTCGCGATATCGAGGCAGCTCAGAGCGTCGCACGCGGTCACGGGCATCTCGTGCAGGACTTGGAGCGACACCTCGCCCTCGTCCACGCGCGCGTACGCGACCATGAGCACCGCGTCCTTCTCGGGGATCCGCGGTCGCAAGGTCAGACTCGACGGCTCCGAGACGACGTCGTCGAGCGCGACCGCCGCGCCCTCCTCGGCGTCGTCACCGTCGAGCGGTCGTCGGTACGCCACGGCCTCCTTGATGAATTTGCCCGCGTCGCTGCCAGGAAGTTTATCGCCGTGAATGTCGAAGAGCCGCTTGGCGTAGTACTTCACGGCCTGGTCCGCCTTTTGATTTTTGAACGGCAGCGGCTTGCCCCCGTCCGATGGTTGGTCCATGGACCCGAGCCACCGCACGTCGACGTGGAAGCCGCCCCCGGGGCCCGGCATGGTCGTAAGCCGCTCGCGCGCGCTCAGGGCCTCCTGCTCCGCTCCACACCTAGGTGTGGACTGGCGATTGACCCTGCGGCCAAGGCCCCGACTTCCCGGACCTGTCCGTAGGCCTGTCCGTCGACCGGCCGCGCCGCCTTCGCCGCCGAAGGCCCCCCTCCGCCGCAGCGCGACCCGCGCGAGAAGCCGCCTCTACAGACACGAGCTCACCCGCGGCCGTTCCGCCCGCGCGGCGTCGCCGGCGCGACCGGGGTACAAAATTAGGCGCCGCGCGCGCTAGGACTCGAGCTTGACGAGGCCCGCGTCGGCGAGCTTGCGGATGATGGCGCGCTCGTCCGGGTTCATCATGGCGCGCTGGAACTCGCGGGGGTCGGCGCAGCGCTGCATGAGGAGCTGCGTCTTCGGGTCCATGAGGAGGTCGCGGAGCGCGGCGTTGTTGAGGACGTCGTCGACCTGCTTGATCTCCTCGGGCGTCTTCGCCGGCGCGGGCCCCTGGCCCTTGGCGGCGTCCTCGACGACCTTGGCGGCGAGGGGCCCGAGCTGCTCCTTCTCGTCGGCCGTGGGCGGCGGCGGCGGCGCGGCCGCGCCGAGCTTCTCGAAGTGGCCGCCCATGACCTCGCAGAAGTCGGTCAGGAACTGCTTGAGCTCCGGGTCGTCGTCGAACTGCTTCGCGCCGGCCTTGGGGTCCTTGCGGAGCGCCTCGAGCGCCGCCTGGCATCTGGGATCGCCCATGCCGCGCGCGAGCGCGGGCCGCTCGGCCATGGCCTTGACGAGCTCCGGCGTGACCCAGTCGCCGCCCTTGAGCGCCTGGGCCATGGGGTGCGACGAGCCCTCCATGTTCGCCGCGACCTCGGATCGGATCGCGGAGCGGACCGACGCGCCGTCGTCCGCGGGCGGCCGCGCGGTGATCGTCACGGGGTCCGCGGGCTCCGCCGGCGCCCGGGGCTCCGCCGGCGCCCGCTTCTTGGCCTTGGGCTTGGCGTCGAAGAAGCCCTTCTTCAGGCCCTTCTTCATGCCGTCGCCGAAGGACTTCTTCATCCGCTTGTCCTCCTCTTTCCGCTTCGCCGCGCGCGCGGTCCGATCCGTCGACGCGTCCGCCATCATGAGGTCCATGAGCGACGCCTCCTCCTCCTCGGCCTCGGCCTCGGGCTCCGCCGCCGCGGCGGCGGCCTCCATGTCGAAGGCGCCGTCCTCGCCGACCTCGACGATCTTCGGCTTGGCGGCGGCGCCGCCGCTCGCCTCGTCGAGCTTGAGCATGGAGAGCTTCGAGCTCGGCGCCGCGTCGCCCATGAGCGTCTGGTCCGCGGAGACAGCCATATTGCCGATGAGCGTCTGGTCCGCGGAGACGGCTATATTGCCGGGCGCTGCGGACGCGACGCGACGCGAGGCGCTGGGGCAGCGGTTGAGCAGGTTTTGTTTTTTGCCACAGGTGTTTTTGCACTTTTTCTCCACAACAGGGAGAGCATGGACACGACCCTCAGCAACGAGCGCGTCTACGAGATGGGGGCCAGCACCCTCACCAGCGGCAAACACGAGCGCGTCGACGCCATCGACGGCGCCTACGTCGCCACCATCACCTTCACGAGCCGACCCTGCGCGACGGAGGCCATGGCGCTCGCCGCCGCGCGCCAGCTCGCCGCGCCGCAGCACGCAGCGACCGACGTCGACATGGCGCCGCCGGCGCAGAAGAAGCGCAAGCGGACGGCGGACCACGACCCCATGGACTTCGCGGACAGCGCGGCGCTGCTCCGCGAGTACGCGCACCGCCAGGGCAAAAGCCTCGCCTTCGACTTCTCGCACAAGGAGGGCGTGGGCCACAAGTGCGTCGCGACCGTCGGCGGCGTCAAGCACTGGGGCGCCGCGAAGCAGTCCAAGGCCTCGGCGCAGCTCGACGCCGCCGACGAGTTCTTCGCGTCGCTGAGCGGCTGCGAGCCGCGGTCCGCGGATCCGCTCGTCGCGTCGTGGCGCGCGCGATTCTCGAAGGACCTCGCCGACGTCACCGCGCGCTGCGGCCTCGCGGACCGCTTCGCCTGGCGCCGCGGCGGCCTGCCGCCCGCGGTGGAGGACGCGCACACGCGCGCGTTCCTCCACTTCGCCTGGCGCCGCGGCGACGACGCGCCCAAGGACGCGGTCGAGTGCTTCAGCGCGATGCGCAACTACCTCCGGACGTCGCGCGAGGACGGCATGGCGAAGAAGCGCGCCGCGCCCGACGTGGGCCTGACGGCCGCCGAGTGCCGCGCGCTCCTCGCGACGCACGTGTCGGGCAAGTTCGCGTCCGTCCTCGGCCGCGTCGCGCGCGTCGCCGTGGCCCAGGGGTCCCAGGCGGGGCCCGACGGCGCACCGTGGTCGTCGGGCGGCCTCGACGGCAAGAAGAACACGCTCGGCGACCACGAGTGGGGCCTCTTCGCCGTCCTCGACGACGGCTCGGGCGTCGAGTTCTCCTACAAGAAGCTCAAGTGGCCGGGGAGCTAATCACTGGAAAATATACGTCGGGTCGGGCGCGCCCGGATCCGGCGGGGGCGCCTTGGGCCGCCGGCCGCCGCAGCGCGCGTCGAAGAACGAGTCGCCGTCCAAAAGGAGCGGCGGCTCGCTCGCGCTCCGGCGGCGCCGCCGGCCCCGGCGGGTCCTCGCGGCCGGCGCGGCGGCGTCGTCCGGCACGGCCGCGTCGGGCGCGGCGGGCGCGGGCGCTGCGGCGTCGGGCGCATCGGGCGCGGCGGCGTCGCGCGCGGCGTCCGCCGCGTCGGGCGGCGACGGGTCCGAATCGTCGCCGTTGACGAGCGACGCCCAGGCGACGCGGCGCGCGGCGGGCACGAGGCCCCGGAAGGTCTCCGACGACGCCGCGCCGTGGGCGAGGAGCACGACGCAGCCCGCCGCGCGGCAGCGGACGACGCAGGCCGCGAAGTCGCTGTCGCCGGAGACGATGACGACGACCTGTGTGGAAATCAACCACTGGTTTGGGGGGTCCCCACCAAACTTCAGAACTCTCTAGCTCCGTCAAATCGAAGTCGATTCGGCTGATTTTTGGACGGATCGATCGCTCTCGTCGAGTTCTTGAAACAAGGCAGAAGAGCTTGCGTCGAAACGGTCGCATACGATCACATTGAAGTCGGGTTGAAGATTTGATTTCCACACAGACGGCGACGCGGCGCCGCAGCTGCGGTGGCGTCGCCGACGCGAGCATGGCGTCGACGTCGCGCTGGATCGCGAGGTCCGCGGCGCCGGGCTTGGGCGACACGGCGACGTGGCGCCAGCCGAGCGTGTCGAGCGCTTTCAGCGCCGCGGGCCGCGGCGCGGCCGAGCTCCGCGCGGGCACGTAGAACGACAGCGTGCGCGCGCCGCGCGCCGTCGCCTCCGCGACGCTGTGGCCGGCGCCCGCGGCGCCGGTGACGAAGTCCATGAGCCGCGCGTGCATCTCCGCGGCGCCCTTCGCCGTGCGCGCGCAGCCGCAGTTCTCCACGTCCCAATAGATGTCGAGGCTCACCGGCGCCGCGGCAGCGGCGCTGTTGCAGGCGCCCATCGCAGAGCTAGCAAGGGCGCAAGGCCAATCGCAAGAGCTAGCACTACTGGCGCAAGGCAAAGCTAGCAGACCATCAGCCACGACTCAAGGAGCTAGCACATCGCACTCGGCATTCACGATCACGATGCGGTTCATGTTGCGGTCCACTAGGGGTCCCTCGTTAGCTTCCGCGCCGCGTCCGGCGCCTTCCAGAGGACGATGGTGCCGTCGACGCTGCCCGACGCGAGCGTCGCCCCGTCGGCGGAGAAGGCGACGCCGTAGACGATGCCCTCGTGGCGCCGGAGGTCGGCGACGTGCGTCGCGGCGCCGTCGTCGTCGACGGCGAAGAGGCGGACGAGGTAGTTCGCGCTCGCCGTCGCGAGCGTGGCGCCGTCGTGCGCGAAGGCGACGCCGTAGACCCAGGCGTCGTGGCGGAGCGCCGCGGTGCGCTCCCAGGTCCCGCGCGTCGGCCGGTGCAGCGCGACTCTCTCGTCCTGCGACGACGACGCGAGCGCGCCCCGCGGGCTCCAGGCGACGCCGTAGACCCAGCTCGCGTGGCAGTCCAGGCGCGCGACCTCCGCGCCGTCCTCGGCGCGCCAGACGCGCACGGCGCCGTCGTCGGAGCCCGACGCGAACGTCGCGCCCGTTTTCGCGTCGAAGGCGACGGCGCGGACGGCGCCGAAGCCGCCGGACCGCGCGTAGACGAGGGCCCCGTGGCCCCGCTCCGCCGCGCCGACGGCGAAGGCGCGCACGTGGCCGTCCCAGGACCCGGAGACCACGAGGTCGCCGCGCACGGCGACGCAGAGCACCTCGCGGTCGTGGTCCGCCAAGGTCGCGACCTGTGTGGAATGAAACTTCAGAATTCTCTAGCTCGATCACATCGAAGTCGATTCGGCTGATTTTTGGACGAATCGATTGCTCTCGTCGGGTTCTCGAAGCACAGCCGAAGAGCGTGCGTCGAAACTGTCGCATATATGCGCACATTGAAGTCGGGTTGAAGATTTGAATTCCACACCGGTCGCGACGCAGCGCCAGCCGGGCTCCGCGCACTCGTCCTCGAAGGCGACGGACTTGGCGCGGGGCCGCTCCACGGGCGGCGGCGCGGGCCCCGCGTCGGGCGCCGACGCGAGCCAGGCACCGAGGCAGGCCCGGTGGCACCGCTGGCCGCAGCACGGCAGCGCGACCGCGCGTTCGCCGTCGGCGACGCCGCAGACGGCGCAGGCGCCGCCCGGCCCCGCGCAGGGCGCGCGCGGCGCGGCGCCGCCGCGCTGGTAGTCCGCGGCGGCGCCGTAGGACGCGAGCGCCGAGGCCCGGGGCGCCGCGGAGCCCCGCCGCGCGCCGCGCGTCAGCGACGGCGACCGCGACCGCGCGGGCCGCGCGGCGCCGTCGACGCGGCGCCAGAGCTTGACCGCGTTGTCGTAGGACGCCGACGCGAGCAGCGCGCCCGTCTCCGAGAAGGCGACGTGGCGCACGATGGACGCGTGGCCCCGGAGCGTGCCCGCGGGCTCGCCGCCCCGCCAGAGCTGGACCGCCGCGCCGACGCCGGACGCGAGGAGCGGCTCGCCCCGCTCCGTGACGACGCTGAAGCCCATGACGACGTGCCAGACGCTCCAGGGCAGGCCCGGGTTCCCCCGCAGGAGCCGCGCGGCGCGCCGCCGCACGTCCAGCGGCAGCGCGCCGTGGAGCCGCACGGTCCAGGCGCCCCGCGGCGGCGCGTAGTGGAGGGCCGTCACGCTGTCGTCGTTCGTCATGCGCACGCGCGTCGACGCCTCCATGGTGCTGGTGGGTCCCAGGGACCAGCGCCCGAGGACCAGTGACTGATTCGGCGTGCGGCAGTGGACGACGACAACAGGAGCGGAGAGCTCGGCCTGTGAGAGCTCGACCTGTTCACACACGAAGTCGAGACAGCTTCGCATCTTCAAGGTGCAGATGCGCATCATCATGGTGCAGGAATTCCATCGACGCGCAGGAGCTGGCTTTATTATGATGCCGGACGACGGGCTGCCCCGGCGGTCCCACGTCCGGTTCGGGGCCTTCGCCCTCGCGGCCGTCGGCCTCGTCGTCTTCTACGGCGAGCGGCGCCGCGCGCCGTCGCCCGTCGCGTCGCCGGCCCTCCTCGAGGAGCGCGCGCGAACGACGCCTCTTGCGACGAGCCACAGCCCCGCGGCGTCGTCCTGCGCGGCCTGCGAGGCCGCGGCGGAAGCGGCCCTGAGCTTCGCCTTCGTCGACGGCTGGAGCTGGGCCGACGGCGGCGGCGAGGCCGACGCGCTCTCGCGCTTCGCCCGAGCGTACGCGTCCTCGCTCCAAAGAACTCGGCGGCCCGCGGCGGCGGCGACCCCCGACGCCTCCGAGGCGGCGTCGGACGCCATCCTCGCCCGCGAGCTCGCCTACGCGCTCGCCCTGGAGGAGGGCGCGCCGTCGTCCGCGGGCGCCGTCTGCGGACGCATCGGCGCGTGCGGCGTCGCCTCCGGTAAACTCGCGCGCCTCGACGCCGAGGCCGCGCCCCGCCCCAACGTCGTCGTCTCCAAGGCCCACGCGTCGCGCGACGACTACGGCCTCGTCCGCGTGACGCGGACCGCCGACGCGTCCGACGACTCGACGTTCGCCTGGGCCGACTACGACCACCAATTCCGCTACCGCTGGACGCAGCTGAGGGTGGCGACGGGCCTCGTGGCGACGGACGGCGGCGCCGCGACCGTGGATCTAGGCGACGGCGAATCCATGACGATCGCCGTGCCCGCGGCGGGCGCCGGCGCCGTCGGCGTGCTGTTGAGCGACCCGTGCTTCGCGTCGACGTACGTCATGTGCGCGCTCGGCGCGGCCTTCGACACGGGCGAGCGCACGCCGGCGCTGCTCAACGCGCTGCTCGAGGGGCCCGCGCAGGCGCCGGGCGAGGCGGCGTCCTACTGGGCCATGATGGGCGACGACCTCTACGACCGCGACGGCGACCTCACGGCGAGCTGGTGGAACTCGTTGAGTTCCGCGGCCCAGTCGCGGCTCTTCCTCACGACGGCGGGGAACCACGACCTGTGGATCGACGGCAACCCCGGCGACGCGACGCAGGGCGACCAGTACGGCAACGGCTTCGTCCAGTTCTACGGCCAGGACACCGTCGCCGCGCTCGCGGACGCGGCGGCGCCCTTCGACTTCTCCGTGGACCCGGACGCGGCCTTCGCGACGTTCCCCGCGCGCGCCGAGGCGGCGCTCGCGGCCCCGTCGAACACGATCTGGTGGAACCAGATCGGCAACGTGGGCTTCGCGGGGTTCTCGTCGGCCTACGCTTTGAACGAAACCGCGCGCTACTTCACCGAGGCCTGCGACTGGGCGGTGGGCGCCTACGCCGCGGGCACGCTCGACCTGTTCGTCATCGCGGGCCACTGGTCCCAGTTCGGCGACGGCGCGCCGGCGAACACGCCGACGCCCCACGTGCACAAGCTCGCGGCCGCGGGCGCGTTCGGCGACTCGTGCTCGCGGCTCGCGGCGGACGACCGCCTCAAGTTCGTCGAGGGCCACACGCACTGCAACGCCGTCGTCTCCGAGGGCCGCGGCTGGATGGTCGCGGCCCAGGGCATGTCGGGCTGCGGCGCCTACGCGATCACCGTGCTCGACACGCGCGACGACGCGGCGCTTCTGCTGAATTTCCCCATCGCGAACGTCGACGGCATGGACAACTACGACGCGCTCCTCGACTGCTTCTCCACGCGGGGCGCCCGGGCCTGCGCGGACTACGCCGACGTCTGGCTGAACCAGTCCCTCGCGCGGCGATAGTAATCCGCTCGGGTCTTTACGTTGGTCGTTCGCTCATCGAGTCGTGTCCATCTGGCGGCGGCCGGCGACGAGCGCCGCGCGCGCCTCCTTGCCCCGCGCCTTCTGCTCGCCGAGGCGCTTCTCCGTGCCCGTCGGGCCCGCGCCGAGGTCCATCTTCTTCGGCGCGGTCCGCGCGGCCTTGCGCCGCGCCTTGACGACCAGGACCGCCTCCTCGTACTTGGCCGGGTCCCGCGACGCGCCGCGCACGAGGCCCTTGGGGATCTTGCGCTTCTTCGCGGGCTTGCCCTCCTTCTTCGCCTTCTTCTTCTCGAGGCGCGCCTTCGTCGCGGCCTCGCGCTTGAGCAGCTCCTCGTGCTTGTCCTTGCGCGCCTGGAGGCGGTTCTTCCGGGACATGATGTCTGTCGCGTTTCGCGGAGGTTTTAGAGCGGTTTCGGTCGGTCTAGCTCGTGCGGCGGCGCACAGGCCGGTCTATCGCGCCTCTCTCGCCCGATGCACCTCGAGTGCGCCGAGCCCGTCTTGCGGCAACATCGCCGAACGGGTTGTGGCAAGACGAGGCTGGCTTTACAAAACACGAGCAAAAAGTAGCCTCGGCGGAGCAAAAAGCGACGCCGCGCGGAGGCGACAACTCCTCCAACCTCTCGAATGGAGGTCCACACGCAGCGCGAGCTCGTGGGCCACGGCGGGCGCGTCTTCGACTGCGGCCTCCACGGCCGCGAGCCGCTCCTGGCGACGGCGTCGGAGGACGGCACGGCGCGCGTCTGGGACCTCGCCGGCGGGGCCTGCGTCGGCGTGCTCCGCGGCCACGTCGACGAGGTGCTGCGCGTCGCCTGGGCGCCGAAGGTCGTCGAGGAGTCCTGCGGCGCGCCGCTGCTGGCGACGGCCGGCGCGGACGGCGAGACGCGGCTCTGGCGCGGCGGCGGCGGCTGCTGGGCGTCGGGCGGGTCCGGCTGCGAGCCCCGGCTGCTGCACACGCTCGTGCCCGCCGTGGCGCCCGGCGGCGAGGTCGAGCAGGTCTACGGCTGCGCGTGGACGCGGTGCGGCGACTCGCACGGCGCGTGGTTGCTGACGGCGTACGGCGACGCCGTGACGCTCTGGGACGCGGCCAAGGGGTGCGCCGCGCGGTCCTGGCGCTACGACGGCTCGGGCCGCGGCGCGGCGAAGCGCGACGGCGACTGCTTCGTCTTCGACGTGTCGCCCTTCGCGGACGCGGAAGCGGACCCGGCGTCGCACGCGGCGCCGTGCGAGACGCTCGTCGCCTGCGCGGTGTCCGACGGCACGGTGCGCGTGCACGACGTGCGCGCGCCGGAGCCCCAGACCGTGCTCACGGCGACGGGGTCCGGCGCGCGGCTCACGGCCGTCGACTGGCAGCGGTCGGGCGCGGCGGCCGGTCTCTGCGCGTGCGCGGGCGACGGCGACATCCACGTCTGGGACGCGCGGACGTGGCGCGCGACCCTGAAGCTGCGCGGCGCCCACGCCCAGCCGGCCTACGGCGCCGCCTGGCGGCCGGGCGCCGACGCGGGCGGCGCGGAGCCCTTCCTGTCCTGGTCCTGCGACGGCTGCCTCGGCTTCTGGGACACGCGCGACGACGCGAAAGCGACCGCGCCCTGCCCCTGGAAGGACAAGGACGGCGCGCCGAAGCCCGTCGCGGCGGCGCCGGCGGCGAAGGCGCGCGCGGCGACGGCGCTCGTGCCCATCTTCGACGACGACGGCGCGCGCGTGCCCCTCTTCCACTGCGCCTTCGACCCCAAGGGCGACTTCATCGTCGCTTGCGGCGGCGGCGGCGGCGGCAAGCACGCGCCCCGGCGCGAGTTCGAGCCGTCCGTCTTCGTCCTCGACCTCGCCGGCGGCGACGGCGACGACGACGGCGACGACGACGGGCGGAGCCCGAAGAAGGCGAGGCGCGCGGACTCCGGGGACGAGGCCGAGGAGTAACAGTGGGCCAAACAAAACGACATGGACCTTAGAGTGAAATGGGGGGAGACGTTCGCCTTCACAGGGGCGGCGTGACCTGGCGCGGCGGCGCGAGCGCCTCGGCCGCGAGCGCGAGCGACTCGAAGGAGGGGAAGTTCTTCGCCGCCGCGAGGGGCGGCGTCGGCGGCGGCGTGACCTCGGTGTCCTTGAGCGTCCAGGAGCAGTAGACGCGGTTCGCGACGACGTAGGTCGCGAGCGACGCCGGGTCGACGTCCGCCGGCGGCCGCCACGCGGCGTCGCGGCCGTCGGGCGCGCGCTCGTAGGCGCACTTCTTGGCCTCAAGGAGGTGGAGCTTGTCCTTCTTGACGCTGCAGACGGCCGCGTGGTTGCGGAACTGCTCGCTGTAGTCGTTGCAGAGGCCCACGACGAACTTGTTCGGGATCGTGAAGCCGAGGTAGTCGACGGCGACGTCCGCCGCCGTCGCGTGGCGCGCGACGCCGAGCTTCTCGAGGAGCACGCAGATCTCGAGCGTCGCCGGGCCCTTGGCGCGGAGGTGCGCCGCCGCCGTGGCCAGCGTGAGGCCCGTGTCGATGAGGTCGTCGACGAGGAGCACGCGCTCGTCCGCGATCTTCGTCTGGAGGTCCGCGAGCAGGCGCGCCGCGCCGAGGGACTTGTCGCCGCAATAGGACGCGAGCCAGAGGAAGTCGAGGCGGCACGGCACGCCGAGGCGGCCGAGGCGCGAGCTCAGCGCGACGCCCGTGTGCACGCCGCCCTTGAGCACGGGCACGACCACGAGCGGGCGCTCGAGGCCCCGGTAGGTGGCGGCGATGGCGGCTGCGAGCTCGTCGAGGCGCGCCTCGATTTTGGGCTCGTCGAGGAGCACCTCGTCGATGCACATCTTCCAGGCGTCTTCGCAGGTGACGGGCGGGTCGGGCATGGCGGAGAGGGCGAGGAGGCTGGCGGCGGCAAGCGGCGCGTGCAACGGAGGTCCGGACTCGTCGGACCGGGCTGCCGGTAAGCGAGAATGCAGCGCGCGAAGTATACACGGCGATTCTGGGGCTGCACTCCGAGAAGCCTCTGACTGACACTCTGAGCTGAAACGGCAGCTTCAAGGAGCGCGGCATGGCGATGTTGACTGAGTTGACCAAGTAATTGAAGGGATGTTGCCGGCCGGCCGATCGACTCGGACTGTGCGCATCGGACCTCGACGATGTCCTTTTCGACGCCGTTCACGCAGGAGCAGTCCTTCGAGGACGAGGCGTGCGACGGGTGCCCAAAGGTGCGACGCGCGCGCGCTTCGCGCGCATCGATCGCTGCGACGCGCCCGTTGTAACAACGCCCACCCCCCGTCCGCAGCTCACGTACCAGCAGCGCATCATCGGGTTCTGCGCCTGCTGCGGCTTCGGCTACCTGCTGAGCTTCATGGGGACGATGATGCTCGCCGTCGGCGGGCCCGACGCGGAGACGATCCGCAACTTCGCGACGTTGTACATCGTCGGCAACTTCATCGCGATCGCCGCGACGCTCTTCCTCCTGGGCCCCCGGAGCCAGTGCAAGAAGATGTTCGACAAGACGCGGCGGTTCTCGACGATCTTCTGGCTCCTCACCCTGATCGTCACGTTCGCCGTCGCCGTCGCGGGCGTCAACGTCGGCGTCGTCGTCATGCTCATCTTCGTCCAGATCGGCGCGTCGATCTGGTACAGCGCGTCCTACATCCCCTACGGCCGCCGCATGATCGTCAAGATCTTCCAGTCGACGTGCTGCTCGCCCTGCCCCCAGGTCTGCGACCCGTGCATCAAGATCGCCACGTAGCGCGGGCGTAACGAACCGCCGCGTTACTTCTTCCGCCAGCCGCCGCCGCGGCACTCCGCGAGCTGGCGGAGGATCGAGCGGAAGAGGTAGGGGTCCGTGACGTCGGCGAAGTGGGCGAGGAGCGCGTCCGTCGTCGGCGCGCCCGCCGCGAGGTACGCGTCGAGGCGCCGGACGAGGTCCACGGCGGCCTCGGACGCGGGCCGGCCGTCGCCCGCGCGCGGGTCCGGCGCGTCGCGCCGCGCGCGGTCGTTGCGCCGCGCGATGGCGCCGAGGAGCGCCGCGGACCCCGGCGCCGTGCCGCCGAAGAGGTCGGCCGCGTCGCCGCGCGCCTCGTCGCGCGAGTCGAGCACCGCGGCGACGGCCCGGCCCGCCTCGCGCTCCGCCTCCGCGGCGAGGCCCGCGCGCGCGGCGGACTGGCGCGCCTCGTCGTCGCCCGCGGCGAAGACCTTCGCCAGCGCGCCGTCGGGCGACCCGTCCCACAGCGCCTCGAGCACCTGCTTGTCGTCGTCGTCGAGCGCGGCGCCGTCGACGGCGTCGCCGTCGCCGTCGGCGCCCGGCGCGTCGGCCGACGCCGTGCGCTGCGCGAAGTCCTCGACGCGCGCGACGTCGCCGCTGTCGGTGGCGCCGGCGAGGGCCGCGTCGCCGAGCGTGAAGAGCTCGCCGAGCTCCGACTGCGAGAAGAGCCGCCGCTGCTTCGCGTCGCTCAACACCTTGTTCGTGAGCGCCTGCTTGAAGATCTGCCGGTGGTAGATCTTCTCCTCGATGGTGCCCGCGCAGACCAACCGGTAGATGGTCACGGGCTTCGTCTGCCCCAACCGCCAGGACCGCTCGCGCGCCTGCGCGTCCGTCTGCGGGTTCCAGTCCGGGTCGTACAAGACCACGCGATCCGCGCCGACGAGCGACAAGCCGACGCCGCCCGTGCGCGTCGTCAGGAGCATGAGAAAGGTCTTCGACGACGCGTTGAACGCGTCCGCCGTCGCCTGGCGCGCCGCCGGCGCCGTGCCGCCGTCCATGCGGCCGTAGCGCCAGCCCCGCGCGACGACGAGCGCCTCGAGGACGTCGAGCATGGCGATCGTCTGCGAGAAGACGAGGACGCGGTGGCCCTGGGCCTTCCAGCGCACGAGGACGGCGTCCAAGGCCGCGAGCTTCGACGAGCGGCTCGCCGCGCCCGGCGGCTCGCCCTCGGGCGGGCCGCCGTAGAGGTCCGGGTGGTTGCAGATCTTCCGGAGCGCGGCGATCGCGCGGAACGCCGTCGCCTGCTGTCCGCCGTCGCCCGCGAGCGCTTTCCGCACGTCGTCGCCGTCGAGCACGTGGCGGTAGAGGTCGATCTGGTCCTGGGACAGCGCGCAGAGGAGCACGTGCTCCGTCTTCGGCGGCAGGGCGACGCCCGAGTCGCCCGCGGCGGTCAGCGCGGCTTTCGTGCGCCGGAGCAGGTAGGGCTGGATGAGGTCCCGGAGCGCGACGGCGCAGCGGTAGGCGAGCTGGACCTGGGCGGGCCGCGCGCCCGCGAAGCCGCCCGCGCGGATGGGCTGCGCGAGCTCCTGGTCGAAGGCCTTGAGCGTGCCCAGTCGCCCGGGCACGGCGAAGTCGAAGAGGCTCCAGAGCTCGCGGAGCGAGTTCTGCACGGGCGTGCCGCTTAACAAGAGCCGCCGGGGCGTGCGCAGCCGCTTGCAGAGCTGCGTGACGCGGCTGTCCGGGTTCCGGAGCTTCTGGCCCTCGTCCAAGACCGCGTAGGACCACGGCACGGCCAGGAGCGCGTCCGCGAGGCGGTGCACGGCGTCGTAGGACGCGACGCAGAGCACGCAGGACGGCGTCTCCTCAAAGTCCGGGCCCGGGGCGCCCCCGGCCTCGCCGGGCCGCGGCGGCGCGGCGAGCGCGCGCGCGAGGAACGTCGCCAGCGCCGCGGGCCCGGCCTTGACGGCCTCGTCGAAGCGCGCGGACGACCGGTGCAGGACGACGACGCGCGCGCGCGGCGCCCAGGCGTGGAGCTCGCGCACCCAGTGGCTCAGCATCGTCGTCGGCGCCAGGATCAGCGCGCTCCGGCAGACGTCGAAGCGGTCCGGGCCCCGCGGCCCGTCCGCGAGCGCGCCCAGAAACGCGCCGACCTGGGCCGTCTTCCCCAGCCCCATCTCGTCGCCGACGATGCCGCCGCAGCCCTCGCCGTGGAGCGCCCAGAGCCAGGACACGGCGCGCCGCTGGTGCGGGAAGAGGCGCCGCTGCGTCGTCGCCCGGATCCACAGGCCGCCCTCGAGCGTCGCGGACCCGTCCGCGTCGTCGTCGTCCTCGCTCTCGCCGAGGTCCCCGCGCTCCCGCAGGTCCGCCAGCCGCGCGCGCAGGTCCTCGTCGTCGCCGTCGTCGCGGATCGCCTCGACGCGCGACAGCTTGAGGTTCTTCACGTTCTCGTCGTCGTCGTCGTCGTCGAAGGCCTCCTCCTCCTCCTCCTCGTCGTCGTCCGGCACCACGAAGTCGTCGTCGCCGTCGCCGTCGTCGTCGTCCGGCACCACGAAGTCGTCGTCGCCGTCGCCGTCGTCGTTGACTGGCACCACGAAGTCGTCGTCGTCGCCGCCGCGCGCGGGGCGCCGCCGCGGCCGCGGTCGCCGCGCGAGCGCGTCGTCGAGCGACTCCGCCTCCGACGCATCGTCAAAGTCGTCGTCGTCGTCGTCGTCGTCGGCCGCGACGGCCGCCGCCGCGCCGCGCCGGGGCCGCCGCGTGCCGCAGCGCCGGAGGTGCGCGTCCATCTCGGCGTCGGGCGCGTTCGCGTCGGCGACGGGGATCGCGCGGCCGCAGAGCGGGCAGGTGGCCGTCGCCTGGGCCGCCGCCGGCGGCGGCGGCGTCCGTCGTCGCGGCGGCGGCGCGTCGCGCGGCGGCGCGGCGCGCGGCGGCGGCTCGCGCTTGCGCTTCTTCTTCTTCGGCGCCGCGCGCGGCGCCGCGGGCGCGGGCGCCGCGCTCAGCGGGTTCCACTTCTTGGCGCCGCGGGCCGCCTCCGGGCCCGGCCGCTCGCGGCGCGCCGGCTCGCGCGAGCGGCGCGCGCGCGCGCGGTCGTCGAGGAACGTCGGCGCCACCGCGACGCCGTCGGCCTCGGCGCGCGCGGCCGCCGCGAGGCGGTGCTCCTTCTTGTTGCGCCGCGGCGGCGCCGGCGCCTCGGGCACCTCCTCGCCGAGCTCGTAGCGCAGCGCCGCGCGCAGCACGCCGACCGCGAGCTCGTCCGCCGGCCCGGCGCCCTCGGACGCGGCGGACACGCTCGCGCGGAGCGCGTTCCCGGCGTGCGCCGCGCCGCGCGCGAGCTCGAGCAGCCGCTCGAGCGCGACCTTGGGAAAGAGCTCGACCTCGCCGACGCCGACCCACTCGCCTTCCGCGGCGCTCGGGATCTGCAGCGGCGGCGCCAGGCCGGCGCCGGAGGCGAGGCGCCGGCCGAGCACGCTCGCCTCCTGCGCGCGCTCGTCGGCGACCGTGACGCCCAAAGCTGCGAGCTCGTCGTCCATCACTGCAGAGGCGCAGCCTGACTCAATGCGCGCACATGCCCTGGCTCCGGCCTCGATGGCAGCCGATGCGGCCGGCACAGTGCTTTCTCCACAGCGGCGATCTAGCGGCGCTCGCTCAATCATCTCTCAATACCCCTTTAAACTCACGTCTCCTCAGCAAAACGCATCAAAAATGTACTACGAACTCATCGGCGTCGGCGTGACGATCATCACCACGGCCGCTGCGAGCAATATCCTCATCGTGGGCGACTCCTGGGCCGAGCTCGCGGAGGACTTTCTTCAGGAGGACTGCGAAGGATCGTCGGTGACGAATCGCGGGTCCTCCGGGAGCACGGCGGCCGAGTGGGGAGGCGAAGACGACGAGTGCTGCTCCGCGGCGGACGCGTTCGATGAGGCCTCGTTCTCGCACGCGTGGCTCTCCGTCGGCGGCAACGACATGCTTCGCCCCGGATGCGACGCGGACGGGGCCCAGGCGGCCGTGCCCGGGGCCCTCGAGTCGGCGATGCGGGCCTTCGCGGACGCGGGACCGGGCGTCCCGAAACTCGTGCTCGGGTACTCGGCGGTCGCGGCCGACGAGGAGGGGTGCGGGCCCGCGGATGTCGCGCGCCTCAACGCCCAGATCGAGGAGGCCGCGGCCGCGTACGACGACGTCACGTTCGTGAACGTCCTGGAGACGCTCGGCGGCAGCGCCACGGAGTACTCGTCCGAGCGGTACTACGACGACGCGATTCACCCGAACCGCGACGGCTACGAGGTCCTCTTCAAGCTCCCCGAGGTCCAGGCCTTCTTCGGCTGCGGCGGCGCGGGGTCGGCGCCGGCGCCGGAGGAGCCCGCGCCCGCGCCGGCGCCGGAGCAGCCCGAGGAGCCCGACGAGGACCCCTACGGCGACGAGCCCGACGAGGAGCCCGTGCTCCCGGACGAGTCCGACGGCGCCTCGGCCCTGCGCGTCTCGCTGGCCGCGATCCTCGTCCTCGCCCTCGCCCTCGTCGTCTGAGGCGCCACCCCTTGCATATAAACATACGGCGATGAACGAATTTACGATTTCTCCGGCTCGCCCGCGACGGCCTTGTAGATCCAGCGCGCGGCGGCCATGCAGGCGACGTCGGGCCCGATGTTGGCGACGGCGTGGGGCACGGACCCCTTGAAGACGGCGCTCAGCGCCGCGGCGGCGCCCGCCGCGCGCAGCGCCGGCAGGGACGACGCGCCGAAGGACCGGAGCGTCGCGTCGCCGCAGAGCTTCAGCGTCTTCCGCGCGTCCAGGGCGCCGCCGCCGTCGTGGCAGAGTAATAAGTTCGTCTTGAAGATGAAGAGCGGGTAGGCGACGAAGGACGCCGCCAGCGAGCCCGCGAGCAGGCCCGCGAATTCCTGCACCGGCGTCGCGTCGCCGATGCGCTGCTGCGCCTGGGCAGCAAAAGGGTGATTCAACATCGCTTCAACGTGAGTGTTCCGCGCGCGCGCGTTCCGGGAAAAGCGTCCACGCTTCGAGACCGTCCCGAGAGATGATCGCTCGTCCAAAAATCAGCCGAAACGAGTGGAAATCGGCCGAGATATGAGGCTTTGAAGTTGGGAATGTCGCTCTCTTTTGCTGCCCTGTGCTGCGCGAGCACGTACGCGTAGTTGTAGAGCGGGATCCAGGTCATGCGCCCCAGCAGCGCCACGGGCGGACAGGCGACGGCGAAGAGCTTCCCGGGCTCCTTCGGCAGCACGAAGCCCTTCTCCGCGACGCGGACGCTCAGCGTGTCCGTGACGAGGGGGAGCACGACGACGCCGAACTGCATGGTCAGCTCCTCGACCATCGTCGGCGTCGGCGTCTGCACCTGCTTCTGCGTCGCCGTCCAGTAGCCGACGTCGCGCACGACGGCGTAGCCGATGCCGGGCACGCCGACGCGGCTCTTGGCGACGCCGACGCCGCGCTCGCGCAGCGTCTTGATGAAGCCGACCTGCAGGAACGCGGCCGTCGGGATGCCGGCGAGCACGCCGATGGCGGCGGCGTGGCTCCAGCCGCCGGACACGTCCGAAGACGCCGTGGATGATGAGGAGGCCTCGGCATCTGCGGTTGATGAGCCCATCGCTTTTGTGGAGAGCGGTGCAACACCGGCTCAAATCTTGGGGCCAAAACCACCTTGCACTCACCTCCTCAGCGCCCACGCCGGGCAGCCTCTCGCGTTGGCCATGGGCTACCGCGAGACGCTCTACAATGAGAACCAGAGCCTGGCGACGGAGGACATGATGCAGAGCCCGACCATGGACCAGGCCATGGCCAAGAGCGCGTCGGAGCCGACGATCCAGACCTACGCGCCCGGGTCGCCGGGCAAGGGCGGCGCGACGGCGAGCACCGTGAGCCTGCGCAGCCTCGACTCGCGGCCCGTGTTCACGCGGCCGAGCGAGACGGACGTGCTCGGGCGGCCGCGGCTCAAGCCCATCCGCGTGCGGCTCGCGCAGCGGAGCCGCATGAAGGACGGCGCGGACGCGGCGCGCGCGGAGCTGGACAAGATCACGCGGCAGCTCGAGACGGGCATGAGCGCCGGCGAGTACAGCGAGACGGCCTACACGCAGAAGATGAGCGAGGCGGACCAGCGCTTCCGCCTCAAGAAGCTCCAGGAGGCCATGAGCCGCCGGTCCGCGACGGAGGAGCGGATCTTGTCGCTGAAGCGGACGATGAAGGATTTTTTGAAGAGCCACGGCACGGACAGCGCGCGCGAGCTCAAGCGCGCCTTCGCCGTCGCCGACGTGGACCACAGCGGCGAGCTCGACTACAACGAGTTCAAGAACGCGGTGCGCAACTACGGCCTCCGGCAGCTGTCGAGCGGGTCGCTGCGGACGCTCTTCGACAGCTTCGACTTCGACGCGTCGGGGTCCATCTCCCACGGCGAGTTCGTCAAGAGTTTAAGGGACATCCCGGAGCACACGCCGTCGTCCGACGACCACGGCGTGTCCCGCCGCGGCGGGCCCCTCGTGCGGACGTCGATTTTGGAGCCGCGGCGCGTGGGATACGAAGCGACGCCCCCGACGCTCGAGCTCGGCCCGCTCCACGTCGGCGTCGCCTACCAGACGACGCTTACCGTATTAAACACGGGCGACACGGACCTGCGGTTGACGGTGAAGCTCGCGGGCTTCGACGGCGCGCGCGACAAGAACCCCGTGCGCGTCGTCGCGCGGCCGTGCGGCCCGCTCGCGCCGGGGCTCCGCGCGCGGGCCGTCATGGAGATCTTGGTGCGCGCCCCGGGCGACCTGTCGCTCCAGGTCATGGTGTCGAGCGGGAGCCAGGTGCTCGAGGTGCCCCTGTCCGCGACGTTCCACCGCCGCGACGCGGACGCGACGCCCATGAGCTCGCGCATCGACGACGCGACGGTGCGGACGGCGCTGCCCAAGTACGTGCGGCGGCTGACGACGAAGCGCGACGCGCCGTCGGGCGTCGCCCGCGCCTGCGCCGACGTCGTCTGGCCGAGTCTGCACGAGCAGTGGACGCAGATCCAGCGCCAGACGGGCGAGGCGTCGCTCCTGCTGTCGGAGATGGCCGCGCTGCGCACCTGCCCCCAGAAGGACCTGAACAGCGTGTCCGTGCGCCTCAAGCGCTTCCGGGCCAAGGCGAACACGAAGCTCATCGTCCAGGGCGACGCGGCGGCGAAGCGGCAGATGCTCTTCGTCGCGTCGGGCGTCGGCGACGTCTACATCAGGGCAGGAAAAGGGTGATTCAACGTCGCTTCAACGTGAGTGTTCCGCGCGCGCGCGTTTCGAAAACAGCACCGACGCTTCGAGAGCGCTCCGAGAGATGATCGCTCGTCCAAAAATCAGCCGAAACGAGCGGAAAACGACCGAGATAGGAGCCTTTGAAGTTGGGAATTTCGCACCCTTTTGCTGCCCAGGTCTACATCGAGCTGCCGAACCAGCCCATGCCCCTCCACGTCCTGACGATCCGCGCGCCCTTCTACATCGGCGAGGGGTCCGTCATCTCCAAGGAGGTGCCGTCGGCGACCGTCATCGCGACGACGGCCTGCGAGGGCTTCTCGCTCGCGGAGAACGAGGCCGAGGAGCTCATCTCGAAGAACAACATGACGCTGTCGCTCATCCGCCGCGACATGCTCCAGCGCAAGTTCGAGCGCACCTGCGCCGCCGGCGGCGGCCTCCTCAAGTGCAACTTCACGGACACGTCCTTCGTCGCCGCGCTCCTCGACTACGCGCGCGCGGAGACGCGCCACGAGCCCAAGGCGCTCTTCATGTGCCGCCACCTGAGCTTCGAGAAGCAGTGCGAGGACATCAACGCGACCCTACACGGCGACACGCCGGCGCCGGAGCGGGGCCTGCGCTTCGACAACTGCCTCGTGCTCTGCGACGAGATCTGGAAGGACTTCATCCGGCCGCCGGCGGCCAAGGGCGCGGTGCGGCCGCCCAAGGGGCGGTCCGTCCTCGGCAACAACCTCGTGCCCGAGGAGCGCGTCCAGGGCATGGTCCAGAAGCGCCACGCGGCGCGCGTCAAGTCCGACATCCCGCTCCTCTCCAAAATCTACGAGGACCTCGCCAAGGACGTCGACGTCGTGCTCAAGCGCGCGGTGCTCACGGACTTCGTGACGTCGCCCCAGTACAAGGAGTGGCTCGCGCTCAAGTTCCCCATCATCGACAAGCGGAGCGACGAGGGCCCGGACGACGACCAGTCCGAGCGCCGCCCGTCCATCGACTTCGACCTGCCCGAGCTCCGCCGCAAGTCGCGGCAGCTCAAGCCGAAGATCGACTGGAGCTCCCACCGGTCCATCAACAAATCCCTCGCCAAGTTCACCGTGGCCAACGACGACGACGAGCCCTCCTACGCCAAGTCCGTCTCTTCGGACGCCACGAGCCAGCTCTAAGGCGGCGCCGACTTAGCCAGGGGGTTAGCCTTCAAAAGTGCCTTCAACAACGCTTTTTGATTCGATGCTCTCTAAACAGCCGCGCGATGGTGGAGCTGGCATGGGCAGCCATCGCGGCGTCGTAAAGAGTCGCTCATGACGTCCTAAACCACCCGCATGGCCGGCGAACCCGGCGGCGTCGCGGCGAGCACGCCGCGGCGCGCGACGACGAGCACGACGGGGGCACCGCCGCTCTCCGAGGAGGCCGTCGCGGCGAAGCGGCGCGCGGCGCTCGAGTTCTCGCGGGAGAAGAGCCGGCGCGCGACGGCGCTGCTGGCGGCGCAGCGGCGCGCGACGGCGGCGGCGTCGCCGAGCTACGCCTTCGGGAGCAAGACGCGGACGCCGCCCGACGCGCGGCGGCCGCGCGCGACGAACGGCCACAAGGGCCGCACCTACCAGGAGATCTTGAGCGGCGGCGGCGGCCGCGACGACGGCGGCCGGCGGCGGCGCGAGGCGCGGCGGCGCGTCGACGCGGAGGCCGACGAGGCGCACGTCGTGAGGGAGCTCTACGCGGGCGCGCGCGTCGACGTCTTCGACCGCAAGGGCCGGCCCCGGCGCCTCGACTGCGGGCGGCTGCGCTACCTGGGGCCGACGACCTTCTCGTCCGGGCGCCAGGTCTGGTGCGGCATCGAGCTCGACATGGCCTTCGGCGCCCACGACGGCGAGGTCGAGGGCACGCGCTACTTCGGGCCGACGGCGGCGCTCAGCGGGCTCATGGTGCCCGCGGAGCTCGTCAAGTGCGTCCCCGGCCAGCCGACGGCCGAGGCCTTCGCCGCGACGGAGGCCGCGGAGCGCGCCGCCGACGTGCAGGCCGCCGCGGCCGGCGGCGCGGCCGCGGCGGCCGCGCCGGCGGCGCCCGCCGCGCCCGCGGCCGCCGCGGCGCCCGCGGCCCCGCCGCCGCCGCCCAAGGCCGCCGACGAGGCCCTGGCGAAGCTCCGGGCCATGCCCGAGCTCGCCAAGTACTTCAAGATGCTCGGCGTCGGCGTCCCGCGGAGCGCCGTCGCGCAGAAGATGGCCGCGGACGGCGTCGCCGGCGCGCTCTGCGACGCCATGGAGGGCAAGGCCGCGGCGAGCGGCGCGCCCGCCGGCGGCGCCAAGGCGGCAACGGCCGGCGCGCCGGCGACGGCCGCGAGCGCGCCGTCGAAGAAAACGTTCCGCGCGCTGCACTGGAACCCGCTCGACGCGGCCGCGGCGGCGTTGTCGCTCTACGGCGTCCGGTCGCGGGCGTCGACGCTCGGCGCCGCGGCCTTCGACGCCCGGGGCCGCGACGCCGCGCGCCTCCGCGTCGCCTTCGGCAAGCGCGAGGTCCCCGCGGTCGTCCAGCGCCACGCGGGCTCCCGGCGGCTCACGTTCGGCGGCGTCGCCGCGGCGCTGAGTCTGGGCGGCCGGCGCGCGCGCCACCGGGCGGCGCGGCCCCGCGAGACGCTCGACGGGCGGCGCACGATGAACGTGAGCATCATGCTGGGCAAGCTCGTCGGCGACGGCGAAAAGTTCGCGTCGCCGCGCGCCGTCTGCCGCGCGCTCATGCGCTGCGGCGACGCCGGCATGACGGCGGACCAGCTCGAGCTCGTCCTCTCCATGGCGCCGACGCCCAAGGAGCGGGACATGCTCGCGGGCCGCTTCGACGCCGCCGGCGCGTACGCGCACGACGGCGCGGAGCCGGCCGTGCCGCCGCCCGAGGCCATGCTCGCGGAGATCGGCGCCGTGCCGCTCTACCGCGAGCGGGCCGACGCGGAGCTCTTGGTGCGCACGGCGCTGCCGCGCCTCGCCGTCGTGCTCGCGGACGCGGCGCTGCGGGTCAAGGCGTGCCGCTGCGTCGTCGGCTCCGACTCGCTGCGGCGCTGCCTCGAGACGTTCCTGGGCGTCACGAACGCCATGCGCGTCACGGAGTCCCGGGGCATCGAGCTCGGGTCCCTCCTCGCGCTCGCGCGGGCCAAGGCCGACGACGCGGCGGCCGTGAACGCCGGCGGCACGGACTTCGAGGGCGCGCCGCGGCGCGCGGGCCGGAAGCGCACGTTCTTGGATTTCGTCGTGGAGACGCTCTGCGCCCGGGGCGAGCGGGGCGCCCTGGGCTTCGCGGCGCCCTTCGCGCGCGGGGACGTCGTCGTCGCCGCGCGGCCGCGGCGGCGGCGGCGCCTCGACGCGGGCAAGCGCGTCACGCTGAGCGACGACGACAGCGGCGACGAGTCCTGCGGCGGCTTCGAGGACGACGACTACAACTCCTCCAATTCCGACGACGACGACGGCGACGACGACGACGACGACGACGCGGAGGCCGCGCGGCGCGAGCGCGCGGCCGCGCGGCGGCTGCTCCGGGCCGCGCGGTGGCTGCCCGGCGCGTTCCTCGCGCGTGACAACGGCACGGTGACGGCCTGCGCCGAGGCTGTGGTGGCGCGGTCGCGGCTCCACGGGGGCCTCGCGCGGGCGGCGAGCCGGGGCGAGCCGCGCGAGCTCGCGGTCGTCGTCGGCGCCATCCGGCGCCGCGTCGCGGCCGCGCGCGCCGTCGCGGCCGCGGACGTCGAGGCGAGCGTCATCGCGGAGCGCGAGGCGGCCCAGAAGGCGGCCAAGGCGGCTTTAGACGCCGAGAAGGCGCGCGTCGAGGCCGCGCTCCGCGCGGCCGCGGAGCGCCGGGCCCGGGAGGCGGCGTCGATGGCCGCGGAGGACGCCGCGGAGCGCGCGCGGATCCGCTTCGGCCACTGGCGCCGCGCGCGGCGCGGCGCGCTGACGGCCCTGGGCGTGCTCTGCGCCGCCGCGCGGGACCACGACCGCGCGCGCGCGGAGCGGCAGCGGGACAAGAACCGCGAGAGCGCCGCCAGGACGCCCGACTCCGAGGGCCGCAGGACGCCGCCGCCGGACCGCAAGTCGGCGAAACCCGTGGAGCAGAAGCCGCGCACGGAGCCCCGCGAGTGGGCGCGCCAGCGCCGCGAGAAGATGGAGCGCGCCGCGGCGCTCCGCGCGCAGCGGAACGACGTCCGCGCGGACGACGGCGAGGAGCGCGACGACGGCAGCGGCTCCGTCGAGTCGTCGCGGAGCTGGGCGTCGTCGGCCAAGTCCGGCCAGAACCCCGGCGGCGTCGCCAACGGGTCCACGTTCCTGAGCCGCATGCGGCAGCAGCCGCGGCGCAAGGTCCGCGCGTACGTGCGGCCGCCCTGCTCCTGGCGCCCCCCGCCGCGCGTCGCCGCGGCGCTCCTCGCCTGCGCCGACTGCGAGTGCGCGCCCGACGGCGCCCTCGCCGCGGGCTTCGTCTGGGCGGGCCACGTGCTCGAGGACCGGGCCGAGCGCGTCGCGCACGCGAGGGACGTCGAGGCCCAGCTCGAGGCGAAGCGCCTCGAGGAGCAGCAGCGGCGCCTCAGCGGCCGGCGGCCGCCGCCGTCGTCCTACGCCTACGCGCGGCCGAAGCCGGAGCCGGAGAAGCCGCCCGCGCGGGAGCCAAAGTCGACGTACGCGCGCGAGCGCGCCGCGCCGCCCGAGGATCCGCTCCTCGTGGACCCGACGGACGTCAAGAACCCCTTCTTCGGCTTCGTCGAGCGGTTCCTGTCGCTGGCGACGCCCGCCATGGCCTTGTTCGACGCGGGCGACCGGCGCCTCGCCGCGGCCGTCGCCGGCGCGTCGGACCTGCGAGCCCGCGCGTCCAAGGCGAACTCGCCGCGCGCGGCGCCGAAGAAGCAGCGGTCGACGGCGGCGAAGCTCTTCAGGAGCGCCGAAACCGACGACCCGCGCGGCGCCCTCGCGGCCATGTTCGCCGCGCGCGGCGGCGGCGCGCCGGCCGCCGCGGCGCCGCGCGCGAACCTCCTCGCGGCGCTCTCGAACGGCGGCCGCGCGTCGCTGCGCAAGACGGCGCCCAAGGCCGCGGCGGACATTCCGGCGCACCTCACCTTCGACGCGCGGCGGGCCGCGGGGCTCGCGCTCGGCGCGGACGTCGAGGGCCTCGTCGCGGCGCTCGACGCCGCGGACGCGGCCGTCGCGGCCGCGGCCGCGCACGGCCAGGCGCTCCGCGTCTATTTAGGCTGCGCCCACAAGGAGCCCGCCGACGCGGCGCTGGCGGCCGTGGGCCACCTCGCGCGCCTCGCCGAGGCGTCGCTCGCCGGCCGCCCCGCGGACGCGGACACGTCCGACAGCGACGACGGCGAGCGCCGGCGGCCGCTCCGCGTCGGCGACGTCGTGCTCACGCGCTTCGGCGCGGGCGTCGTCGAGGCGCGGCGGCCCGCGGCAACGGCGGCGGCGCCGCGGCGCGTCGTCGTGCGCTGCCTGGGCTGGCGCGCCAAGGTCGAGCTCGAGAAGGGCGACGTCGGCCGGCCGCCGTGCGCCGTCGGCACGCGCCTCGGGCCCGCGACGCTCCTCAACGCCGCGCGGGTGGGCGACGGCGGCGGCCGCGAGGTCGCCGTGCGCGTCGACGGCGCCGCGGAGCCCGTCTACGTCGCGCCGGAGACCCTCGCGTGGCGCGCGCCGCGGCCGCGGCCGCGGCGCGAGCGGCGGCGGCCGCCGCCCGCGCGCGCGGAGGCCCCGGCCGCCGGGGACGGCGCCGCGGACGACGGCGCCGCGGACGACGCCTCGGACCGCTCGGACCGGGGCTCGGACCCGCCGTCGCGGCGCGCGAGCCGCGCGTCGAACGACGACTCGTCGGACGTGTCCGACATCGAGGCGCTCGGGAGCTTCCTGGAGATTTAACAACATGAGCTTACGCCGCGGCGGCCGCGGGCGGCGGCGCGGAGGCGAGGGCGACGGCCTTGAGGAGCGTCGGCAGGAGCACGGTCGCGTTGCGCGTCGCCGCCGCGGGGCGGCCCGGGAGGTTGACGACGACGCAGGCGCCGCGGACGCCCGCCGTCGCGCGCGAGAGGAGCGAGTCGAGGTCCGCGCCGCGCCGCAGGGCGTCGGCGTGGACGACGTCGATGATGCCCGGCGCCTCCTTGTCGAGGACGCGCTTCGTCGCCTCGGGCGTGACGTCGCGGGGGCCGAAGCCCGTGCCGCCCGCGGTCAGCACGAGCGTCCGCCCGCCGTCGGCGAGCGCCGCGACGGCGGCGGCGATGGCGTCGGCGTCGTCGGCGACGACCGTCGTGGCCACGTCGGCGCTGTAGGCGCCGAGGCACGCGGCGAGCGCCGGGCCCGTCGCGTCGTCGTACGCGCCCGCGGCCGCGCGGTCGCTCACGGTGACGATCCCGAGCTTGAGCGTCTTCGCCGGCGGCGGCGGCGCCGCCTCCGGGCCCGCACAGGCGTCGTCGTCGTCGTCGTAGCAGCAGGGCTCCGCGCCCGGCGCGACGGGCGGCCGCGCGGGCTTCTTCGACGGCGGCGCGGCGACGGTGATGTTGAAGTCGCCCGCGGCGGCGGCGCGCGGCGACCGCGGCGCCGACGACCGCGGCGTCGCGGGCCGCACGGCCTCGACGGGCGCGTGCTTCGCGTGGTAGCGCTTCGTCGCCTCGAAGCGCTCGAGCTGCTCGGCCGTCGCCTTCGTCTGGTGCTTCGCCTTCCACGCGCCGTAGGGCTCGCCGTAGACGGACTCGAGCGCCGCGTCGTAGGTCGCGTCCGTGGACCCGGCGTAGACCATGCCCGCGTGGTAGAACTTGGCCACGCAGTTGCGGCACATGCCCGCGGCGATCATGATGTCGATGTTGCTGCAGTCGTCGGACACGCCCTGGAGGTGGGCCACGATGGCGCGGAAGGCGTACCTACGCGAGCGCGTCGGCCGCGCGCGCGCGCGCGCGCGGGCATGCACGCCGCCGCGGACGCCTGCGCCTCGAGCTGGCTGTGCGTCTGCGGCGTGATGCCCATGCTGCTCTCCTGTTTTGTGGCAGTTTCGACAGTCCTCGGCGCTGACGCCCCTCGGAAGGCTCGGACCGACTGCAACAGGCATGACGGGCGCTCGAACGCACGAGGCAGGCCTCTCTAGGACTGGCCCGCCGCGGGCAAAGTGGGGCTGGGCTACGACTCCGTTACAAGCGATCTCTCGATCGTGGGTTTTCAGGCGGGCATGTCGTCGTCGCTGCTGTCGCCCGCGTGGCCGCCGCCGCCCGGGCCGTCCTGGTCGAAGGTGTCGAGCATGTACGCGGTCTCGGCGAGGTAGGACGTGGCGGCGCGGAGGCGTTCGTTGCGGAGGCGCTCGAGGCCGAGCTCCAGCTCGGCGCTTTCGAGGCGGCGGCGGAGGGACGCGACCTCGTCGTCCTCGGGCGGGGCGGTCTCGCGATCGTCGAGCGGGCGCGAGAAGTCGATCGGCCCCCCGCCGAGCTGCTGCGGAGCGCGAGCGATCGAGCGCGCGCGCAAGAGCCCGCGGAGGAGGTTCTGCAGGTGCGCGCGGCCGCGGTACGCTTGCGTCGCGGGAGTGAAATTCACCCAGAGCCGCTCGAGTTTGAGGTGATAGATCTGCGGAAAGCGCCCGTCTTCAATAATCCGGAAGCGCGCGTAGCCCTCCGCCTTGACGGCGTAAACGCCGGGACCGGGCTCGACATGACGCAGCTGACGGTCCACGACTCCGACGAGGAATTCGCTCGCGCCGTGCATGCCCGTATGGATGCTTCCTTCCTCCCGTATCGCGACGTTATCCGGATGAGGCGGCGCGGCGTCGCGCCACAGCGGCAGCACGTCAAAGGTCGCCTGCGCGAGGAGACTCGTTTATACATCGTCGACATTGAAAGTGGACACGCACCAGATCGACGAGGTAGCATGAAGTCCACAATGCTGACGCGCGAACGACCGCGGCCTCGCTGAGAGGATGGACGCCCCCAGCTACAAAAAGAAAACTCGCGTCCGTCGGCTCCCAGACGGCGAGGTGTTCGAATTCCTAGGAGCGGGCGTGACCGAAGGAGGGACGCGCGGAAAAGAAGACGCGGCGCGCGCGCGTGCGTGTCCGAGTCCCGTCCAAACTCCTCGGGCGTTCCCCAGCGCGCGATGCCGGCGTAGCGCCGCTCCCCCTCCGCGATCCCCTCCGCGGTCAGGAGCAGGACGAAGGGATCGGCCTGGCGCGGGTGGCACCGGGGCGGGAGGCGGCCCTCGTCGGGCCCCTGCCCCGGTCCGCCGGCCATCCACGCGCATTCGATCGCGCTGTCCGCGGCCGCGCCGCAGGTCGCGAGGTTGCGATAGGCGAGGCGTGCGCGCCGGTCCGCGTCCGGCGCGCCGCGGACGATCAGTGGCAGGAGGGCGCTCGCCTCCGCGGGGAAGGCCTTGAGGAAGAGGTTTCGCCAGAGGTCCCGCGACGGCAGCGACCGAAGCTCGTCGCCCCACGCCTTCGACAGCGTCTCGAGATGGCAGACGTCCCGCGCGACGAGGAACGCGACGATGGGCGTCGCGGCCACGTCGAAGACGTCGATGAGCGCCATGGCTCGCGAGCGTACGACCCGTCCCGAATGTCCACTCGGACTGCTCGCCAAGCTCCTGCCACAACAGTCGACGCGTGGTGCGCGGCCCGACCCACGATGATGGATCGCGTGCGCCGGGACCTCGGGAAGATCAGCGCTTTGGGCGGCTTCAGCGCGGGCCTCAACGAGATCCTGACGGCCCAGAGCGCGCGGGGCCTCTTCTTCTCGAGCGTCGCCATCGTCCTCGGCGCCCTGCTGACGGTCGCCGAGTTCGAAGAAATCGTCGCGCGGCACGGCTCCGCGGACGCGAAGCGGCGCCTCGGCAACTTCGTGGAGGACCTCGCGCTCTACAGTTCGTTCGTCCGCGCGGCCTTTTCCTTCGTCGCGGCCATGTGCCTCGCGACGCGCGCGGGCCTCTTCGTCGGCGCCGTCGTCGTGCTCATGGTCGCCCAGAGCCTGAGCCTCGTCTTCGCGTCGGAGCTCGTGGCGCAGAGCGTCCGCTCCGCGCAGGGCTACCTGCCCGTGCGCCGCACGGGCGACGACCTCGTCGAGCCCTACGTGGACGGGTCGCCCGCGCGCGGCGAGAAGAAGGGCGTCCGCTTCGGCGACGGCGCGGCGCCGGGCGCCTTCGCCGCCGCCGCCCACGGCCACGACCACGACGTCGTCGGCGACGCCGCGGGCGTCGTCGAGACGAAGCACGACGGGTCCACCATCACGATCTAAGTTCTTGTCTGACCATGTGCCTCGGAGAGTGACAGGTCCACCATCACGGTCGAAATGAAATGCGTGTCTTCTGTCGTTCATTTGCCTCGGGGACCTCGAGCACCATCACGATCTACATGCGTGTCTTCTGTTGTTCATTTGCCACTGGACCTCGGGGCTCCCGTCGAGCTGCGTCCGCGAGGTCGGTGCTCGCGCGGTTCTCGAGGCAAATCGCCGCGGGCCCGGCTTCGCGCGTCACACGCGCGCGGGTGACCTGCCCCGGGTGTCGCCCCGCGTTTCGCTTCGATCTGCACGCGAGTCGAGAGTGTTTGTGTGAAGTCACGTTGAAGTTTAGATGCAGTTCCTTTCTCGAGCTATGGTGAATCCTGCGGCAGCGCTCTCACGGACACCATGAGCTGAGCAGCGCGTTGTGAAACTCCAATGACTCCCGCGCCGTCGATGTCCAACGACGACGGCTGCGACGGCAGCGGCCCTTTCGAGTGCGGCGGCTTCTTCTACGACGTGATCCCGTGGTGGCACCTCATCAGCCCGCTGTTCCTCATCTTCGTCGTCGGGCCGCTGCTCCGCTACGGGCTGTCGCAGCGCGGCGAGTGGAGCGGTTGGGCGTCGCTCGCGGGCCGCCACGCGTCGGCCTGGCCGGGCGACGCGGTGTCGCTGGGCACGGCCCAGTTCTGCCGCATGCGGAGCCGCGGCTCCTGCCCGCAGAAGCTCGACAACGCGCTCCACGTCGGCGCGGCGCCGGGCGCGCTGTGCCTCGAGGTCAAGTGCTGCGCGGCGTTTTCGAAGATGCCGCCGCTCGTCGTGCCCTGGCGGTCGATCCGCGACGCCGGCGCGGTCTCGCAACCGTGCGTCGCCGCCGGCGAGCTCGTGCTCGACGAGGACGAGGACATCGTCCTGACGTTCGACCTCTACGCCGCCGTACTGGCCTCCTGCGCGACCGGCGGCGGCGCGCCGACGGCGGCGGTGGCCACCGCACAGGTCGCCCCCGAGGCCGGCGCGCTCCTCGAGCTGGGGAACGTGCTCTAAATTTTTTTAAGAGGCGTGGCTAGGAGACGTGGATCTCCGACGGGCCGCCGCGCGCTGCCTTTTCACCTTGCTCTTGCGCAGGCGCTTCCTCTTCCTCTTCGGCGCGCAGACGGCTGGGGCCGCGGCGGCGGGCGCGGACTCGGCCGGGGGCGCGATTTCGACGCGCTCTGCGCTCGGGGCCTCTGGCGTCGCCACGGCGGCCACGTGCGGCTCCGCGAGCTGGGGCCCAGGATCATCCGGGGACGACAGCGGCCGGAAGCTGGATCTCGTGCAACATGGCGGCGCGGAGGTGGGCTGATATCGGTTCGTTTGACCACCATCTCGACTGGCTTCTCGAGGCGTGGCGCAGCCGCGGCAGGCGCCCGTGAGCACACTGTCGATGATTTTGCGCTGGTCGCAGATTGCGCACACCTGCACGCGGCCCCTCCGGTACAGCCTGCCGTACTTGTCGCGCAGCCGGGTGGGTTCCACCATCTCGTTTTGCGACGCCTCGTCCGGGGCCCAGAGGAATGACGGCGGCGCGGCCGCTTCGTCGTCGGACTCCGAGCTGATCACGGACTCGTTGTCCGTGATCGTGCTGATCACGGACTCGTCGTCGTCACCGCCGTCCGGGGGACGGACGGGCAGCGCGACGGCTCTTTCCGGCGACCAGTGGAATGGCAGGGGGGCGTCCGCCTCGGGACTCGATGACGACGCGTCGCCCATAGTGAAATCGTCGTCCCCGCCACTCGGGAGCGTCGGAGGCTCCGGGGACTCCTCGACGGGCGGCGCCCGTGTCTCGTCGCCGCCGCTCGGGAGCGTCGGAGGCTCCGGGGACTCCTCGGCGGGCGGCGCCCGTGTCTCGTCGCCGCCGCTCGGGAGCGTCGGAGGCTCCGGGGACTCCTCGGCGGGCGGCGCCCGTGTCTCCGCGAGCAGGTTGCGGTAAGTCGGCGGCGCGTCCTTCTTTCCGGCGGCGAAGGACGACACGAGCTCCGACGCCCACCGCGCGTTGGCCGGCGTGCAGTCGAGGGCGGCGGGCTCCGCGGCGCCGGGCGGCTCCGGCGACGACGGCCGCGGCGCCGGCGAGATCTCGTCGCCGCCGCTCGGGAGCGTCGGAGGCTCCGGGGACTCCTCGGCGGGCGGCGCGGGGCGGCGCGTGACCGCGAGTTCGAGCGGGCGCGTGCGGAACCAATCGGTGAGCACGACGGGGTGCCCCTGCACGGCCGTGATGACGTCGCCGACGCGCAGCCCGGCCGTCTCCGCGGCGCTGCCGGGATCCACCGACAACAGCGCGTAGCCCTCGGACTGCCGCTGGATGCGAACGCCGAGCGGCCCGGGCGCGCCGCGGATCGTGCGTAGCTGCGACGTCGTCGCCGGCGCCGGCTGCGCCGGCGCGGGCTGCGGGCGGCCGCGCTTCGGCGACCGTTCCTCCTCCGGCGGCTCGAGCGGTCGCTTCTGGGACGCGTCGAGCGGCGGCGCCGAGAGCGCCTCGAGGCGCGCGAGCAGCTTCTTGTTCTCCTCCGCGAGACGCTCGGCCTCGGTCGTCTTCGCCTCCAGCGCGCGCGCGAGGCGCGAGTGCTCCTCTGCGAGACGTTCGGCCTCGGTCGTCTTCGCCTCCAGCGCGCGCGCGAGGCGCGAGTTCTCCTCCGCCAGACGCTCGGCCTCGGTCGTGAGCGCGCGCGCGAGGCGCGAGTGCTCCTCGGAGAGCGGCCGCTCGAACTTGCACGCCCTGCCGTGCTGCACCGCCGCGGGTCCGTGGGCGAAGGTCCGGTCGCAACCTCTGGGGCAGAGGAACGCGCCAGATTGGTTGCGCGGCCCCAAAGACTTCGAGGACGGCGTCGTCCGGCTCCGCTCGCGGCACTCCGTAGGATGGGCATAAGGGCCTCGGAGTGCGACTCCCTCGGCCTCTAGCACTGGCTCCATCTCCCGGACGATGACGCAAGCAGCAGCCTCGGCGTTCGCCGGTGCCAGAGCGAGCTGAGTTTCGTCGACCTCCAGTGCATCGCCCGCAAGCGACGTCGCGAGGGCGCGGTCGTTCGCGGCGGCGTCGGGCACGTCGGCGAGTTCCCCGGCGTCGGCGGTCGCGTCGGCCTCCGCCGATGCGTCGCCTGCACTCTCGATCAGCTGCGCATGGTCAACAGCGTCTGCCGGCGATGCAGCCTCGTCCTCGGCGTCCTCCGCCGGAGCGGGCGCCGGACGCGCGCACGCCCTGTCGAGTCCGCCGGCGCGCTCGGCGACAGCGGCCATGTGGCGCTTGGCGCAACGATATTTCTGCTGGCTCATAAAGTGGCCACAGTGGCTCCTCAACGTCGCTCCCAGCCTTTTCCAGGCCGCCTTGTCGCCGAGCAGATCCTTATAGGTCCAGGGCGTGACGTCGTCGCCGCAGACGGCGCACACGACGGTCTCCTCGTTCACGACCAAAAACTGGCGCGCCGCGCTCCCGTCGACGTTCCGAAATTCGTTGCGCACCACGCCGACGTCGGTCGGCACCGCAATGAGCGCGTCGACACGCCGCTGGAGCGCGAAGGCCTCCGCGGTGGGCTGCGCGCGCGCGGCGACGTTCTCGGCGCTCGGGCTTGCCGGCGCCGGAACCAGCTGAGCTTCGTCGAGCTCCAGTGCATCGCCCGCAACTCGCCGCGCCGAGGCTAGCTCGCCTTCGTCGTCGTCGCTCTCGTCGCTGTCGCCGTCCACGATAAAGTCGATATCGCACGCAGAGTACCCCGCGGCCGTCCAACTCCGCACGCCGAAGATACGCCGATTACCATGGGCCTTCTTGAGGTGGGCCAGATCAAGCTCGCGGGGCGCCTCGCCGTTCAGCACGGGATAGTCGCGCGTGTCGATGTATACGAGGACGGGCAGCGCGCTCATTCGCCCGGGGCATTCGCCGCACCGCTTCGGACAGTCTCTCCGCCACGGCTCGCGCGCGCCGCAGCCCAAGCACTCGATGTGGAGCGCGTCGAGCTTCTGTTTACCGGGCAAGAGCTCGCCTCGCGGCCCGCACGTGCCGCACCACTTCTCGCCGCTCGTTTGTCGCCGCTGCACCGCAAGTTCCACGTCGCGCTTGCGCACGAGCACCTTGCCTTCGATCAGCTTGCCGCATCCCGGCGCGTCGCAGTAGATCCGAGACGCGGAGGTGCGCGCGCGCTTGGAGCCTCGCGCCCGAGAGTCCGTCAGGTTCGGCTCGTCAGACGCGTCCAGGCCCAAATCATTGCTCGCAACTTGCTCGGACTCCGCCTCTTGCGCCGCGGCGACTTCTTCCGATTCCTCCGCGTCGGTAGAATGCTCCGCCTTCTCGTCCGCCGCCTCGTCCGGGAAGTTCAAAGGCCGACCAAGGGCTTCCGCTTCTTCGTCATAAGCTCGCGCGGCTTCCTCCTCCGTCACGAATTCGCCGATGAGATACTCCTCTCCGGATTTGGTGATCCTCGCTTTCCACGGCGCCCCATGCCCATGCCGCCCCGTGTGAGAAACACCCACATACTGGCTTTTGCGCAGGCGACGGGCAGCTTCCTCCTCCTCGGTGAGCTGCAGATCTTCAGGCGCGTCGAGTTCCGCTAAAACGCCCGGCTCCGCCGAATCGTCCTCGGCGACGCGAGGCTCATTAGCAGACGCGTCGGTGTCCACAAAAGCGTCCGTGAGTTCGTTCGGGAGGTTCACCGGCTTGCCCAGCTTCAGAGCCCGCGCGTCGTAGGCCCGGGCCGCTTCTATCTCCGTCGCAAAAGAGCCAAGATTCTCCCCACGGTCTCGCGACGGATAAATGACCGCTCCCCACGGTCTCGCGATGGATCCGCGCCCATGTTTGGTAACGCCAACGTACTGGCTTGACCAGCTCTGACCGGACCGCCGCACCTGCTTCACCGCCTTGACGGGCGCGGCCATCGTCGCCGCCTCCTCAGCGACGCGAGGTTCATCATCATCATGTGGAACGTGCCCGTACGAAGCTTCGTCTGGCAATGACTCCGCGCCCTGCTCCGTGGCCTCTTCCAGCGGTCGGAGATTCCGTCCCGGCAGGAAACCCAAAACTTCGCCGCCCTTAGCGCGCACGTCATACCGCTTGCAGGTACGTACAAAGCCATGGCTTTTGACAATAGTTCCAACTGTTCCATTATAGCTCGAGAAGGTGATCTCCTTCGAGAATGAGAAGGTGATCTGTGAGCCGACGCTCAGCTGTGAGCCATTTTGAGGGTTGCTCGACGCAGCGGCCACCGTCGAAACGTGATTCTCCGCGGCGTCGTCATTCGGGCAACGACACGCCGGGCACGACGCTGCGTGGCGGTCCAACACCTCTTGGTTCGACGCGAAGCGATGGCAGCCGTCGCAGCTGTACGGCCAGAGCGCCTCTTTCACCTCGTGGACCTCCAGGTCCTCCGCTTCTCCGTCGAGGTCCGAGCCGACGTAGACCACGTGGTACAGCGACGCGGGTCGACCCTGGGAGTTCACAAAGTCGGATTCGCGATGACTCAGCCAGCCGACGACATAGCCCAGCTGCTCGAAGGTCTCGTCGCCCTCGTCGCTCGTGACGGTGCGGACGACCCAGCGCAAGACGTACGGCGACCCCTCCGTCCTCCACCCGTCCTCGAGCACGTAATTCTCCGGCGCGGGCACCAGCAGCTTCCGGTCAAAGTTGGCCGTGTCAGCGGGGCTCGGCCGGGCGTCCTCGTCGACTTCCTCGTCGCTGCTGGGCGCTTCAGGTGGTAGCGACTCATTACCATTGCTGCTGTCGCATAGTGCGAGAAAGCCTTGTGCGACAAGTTCCAAAACATTGCCTGACGCGGTCCGCACATCATATCGAGGAACTTTACGGTTAGCAGTTCCACGTGCCTGAGATTTTCTTGTCACGATACCATGGCTCTTCACAATGATTCCCACAGTTCCATTGTAGATCATGGTGTCACGGCCGCTAAATCTGCTGAACCTGACCTGAGATCCAATGCTCCAGTGCGCGTCGATCGGAGCCTCGCTTTCGTCACTCGATTCAGACTCCCCCCCGCGCAGATCGGCCTCGCGCACGTTGTAGTCGCCGGTGGTCTCAATCATGGCTCGACGCACGGGTCCGGGTACCGTCGATCCGTCGACAACGTGGGGGTCTGAAACTGCGTCGTTCTCCAAATCGTCGACGACCAAATTCCCTCTCGCGACAAGCTCCAACACCTCGCCCGATGTCGAACGCACATCGTAACGATCCAGAGCAGCAGAAGCCTTTGGATCTTTCCCGGTCACGATCCCGTGACTCTTGATCACAGTCCCGCGCGTTCCATACGGAGCGAAACGTTTCTGACATCTCGTAAAACTCACGACACATCCAACCTCGAGCGGAGATTCCGTTGCGCCGGCGCTCCGTTTCGCAGCCCTCCACGGCGCGGCGGCGACCTCAGGCTCTGGCTCCTTCGGCGCGTCCGCGCGCAAGCGGATGGAGCCCTGCGGAAAGTCGAGGCCGGGGACCATCTCGAAGCGTTCGCAGTGCTTCGGAAACTCGATGTATTGGATGTCGCAGTACTTCTTCGCCCGTCGCGACACGCACTTGCCCTCGTACCACCGGCTTGCGCCCAGGAACATGCACGCCTCCCCGACTCTCGGCCAGCGCGCCGCGTCGCGCCAGGCGCTCGGCGCCGCGTCCCGCTCCGCGGTGTGCGGCGCCGCGTCCAGCCGCGGCGCCGCGTCCGGCCGCGGCGCCGCGTCCGGCCGCCGCGCCGCGTCCGGCGCCGCGTCCGGCCGCCGCGGCCGCGCCTCGCGCCGTCGCGGCGCGAGCGCGCGCATCCAGTCCACGGGGACCTCGTCCTCGACGTCGCCGTCGTCGTAGCGGACCGCGCAGGCCGCCGCGCTCGGGCAGCGGAGCACGCGGCCGGCGTAGTACTTTTGGCCGCCGGCCCAGCGCGCCTCCACGGCGTCGCCGACGGCGAAGGGGTTCTCCGCCGCCGGCGCCCCGTCGTCGACGCCGACGGAGGCCGCCGCCGCATCGTCGCGCGGCTCCTCGGGCGTGCAGCTCCCGCAGACGAACGACGGCGCCGAGCGGCAGCCCGCGTGGACCCAGGACTGGCCGCAGAGCGAGCAGGGCACGAGCGCCCAGGACGCGTCGCGCGCGCGCGAGCGCATGGTCCGCTCGTCGGCGTCGTAGCGCCGGCCGCGCGGGCAGCGGCACGACTCCTCCGCGCAGGCCGGCGCCGGGTTGACGACCTCCTCGACGAACGTGCACGCCTTGTTGGGCTCGAGCCTGACGCCGAGCTCCGTCGCGAAGGCCGTAAAATGGGAGTCGTCTTTGCAAAAGGGGCAGCGGAAGAGCCGCTTCGACGACGCCGCCCAGTGGCCGAGACATTCACCGCACACGGGCTGGTGGCAGCATGGAGTCGTCACGCCTTCCGCGTCCGAGCACACCGCGCAGAGCAGGGGCTCGTCGCCGGGCCCCATCCCAGTCCTCATCGCGAGCTCATCCGTTCCATTCTCCATGGGCTGCGGCGCATTCGCCTCCATCATGTTTTTGCAGGTCACCTTGTATTCAATGCCGACTTCGGAGACGCGTTGCGTTTCGGGCGACCGGCCGGCGGGATATGTTACGAAGAGGGGCTGCGTCGCGGGGCGGACGAGGAAGAAGGGCGTCGGCGCGCGGGGCCGGCGGGCGGCGGCGCGCGGGCCTCGGCGCGCGGCCCTCAGCGCTTGGACTGCTTGCCGGGGCCGCGCGCGGAGGGGTGGAGCTGGCGGCGGGGCGCGTAGGTGAAGCCCGCGAAGGTCTGGTCGTCGGAGCCGCCGTCGTAGCGCGCGGCGGCCGTGCGGCTCGGCGGCGAGTGGATGGGGAGGCTCGTGAACTCGCGGTCGAACTGGGACGTGTCGAGGCTGCCGACGACCTGGGGCTGCCAGGGCGGCGCGACGGCGCCGTCGAGGAGCGCGTCCCAGTCGACGCGGGCGAAGAAGGCGTGCGCCTTGATCTCGTCGGCGTCGCCCGGCCCCGAGCCGAGGCGCTCCGCGGGGTCGCGGTGGAGGAGCGCGGCGAGGAGGCCGCGCGCGTCGCCGCTGAGGTAGGCCGGGTAGCTCAGGTCGCCGCTCTTGATGCCCTCGAAGAGCTTCTCGCGGTCCCGGCTGTAGAAGGGCGGCAGGCCCGTGAGCATCTCGTAGAGGAGCGCGCCCAAACTCCACCAGTCGACGGCGCGGCCGTGGCCGCGGCGCGCGAGGATCTCCGGCGCGAGGTACTCGGGCGTGCCGCAGAAGGAGTGGGCGCCCTTGGCGTGGGCCGTGACGCCCTCCTTGGAGAGCCCAAAGTCCGTGAGGCGCACGTGGCCGCGCGCGTCGAGGAGCACGTTCTCCGGCTTGAGGTCGCGGTAGACGACGCCGAGCGCGTGGACGTGGGCGAGGGCGAGGACGAGCTCCGCCGTGTAGAAGCGCGCGCGGGGCTCCGCGAACTTGCCGAGCTTCTGGAGGTGGCAGAAGAGCTCGCCGCCCGCGCAGTAGTCGAGCACGAAGAAGAGCTTCTCCGCCGTCTGGAACGCGGAGTGGAGCCCGACGACGAAGGGGTGGCGCACGTAGGCGAGCACGCTCCGCTCCGTCTTCGTGTGCTCCACCTGGTTGCGCTTGACGATGTTCTCCTTCTTGAGCACCTTCATCGCGAAGATCGTGCCCGCGCGGACGTGGCGCACGAGGAAGACCTTGCCGAAGGACCCCTTGCCGATGACGCGGATGGTCTTGAAGTCGGAGACGCAGGGCGCGCGGAAGCCGCCGCTGTCGCCCGAATCGCCGCTCCGCCCGAGCGACGACGCGGGGAGGCTCCCCGGCGGCAGCTCCGAGCTCGCGGCGCGCTTGAGGCCCTTGTGCTGCATCTCGTCGACGTGGAGCGCGCCCCGGCCGAGGCCCGGGGGCGCGCCGCCGGGCTCCCAGGGCCCGGAGGCGCCGCCGCCGGGCGCGACGCCCCCGAACGGGTCCGGCGCGCCGCCGAGGCCGCCGCCGAGCGGCGCGCCGCCGCCGCCGCCCGGCGAGCCGCCGGCCGCGGACGCGCCCGGCGACGGCCGCCCGGAGCTGCAGGACGCGCCGAAGGTCGACGAGTGGGGCTGGAACGACGACCCGGGGATGTACTCGGCGTTGCTGTACTCCTCGAGGTCCTCCATCGACGCGTCGTCGTCGCCGTCCTCGTCGAGCTCGTCGAAGGGCGCGCCCCCGCGGTAGGGCCCGCCGTGGCCGCCGTCGGACGGCGCGAGGTCGTCCTCCTCGAAGCCGTCGACGCCCTCGCCCTCGTTCTGCTCGAGGTGCCGGTCGAAGAGCTCGTCCATGTCCATGTCGCCCGCGCCGTCGGACTGCATCATCGACGACATGGCGACGTCGCACGTGCCCGCGGGTCGCGGCCGCGGGTTACGAACGAGCGGCGAGGCGGGCGGCGGCGCGGGGACCACGCCCGGGGCGAGTCAGGCCCGGAACAAATGAGGACAGGGGGGGCGCGGAGCGATCCCGGGGGCTCGAACGCTGGCTTTTTGGGGCGCACGAGTTCGAGGGTGCGAGCGTACAGCTTCCCTCGACGCCGGATGGGTGCGGGGGTGGGCCCGACCTGCGCAACCTGCAGGAGCTCAATGGCCGGCCATGCTGCCGTGTCTCTCTCTCCCGCGAGAAACGTTAGTTCACCTTGAAGCGCCGACAAGTTTACCTCGCTGCGCTCAAGGGCCTCGCCTAGAGCTCCTGGTGGTACTCGTCCTCCTCCTCCTCCGTTTCCGTTGCCGCCCGCGGGAAGTGGGAGGCGGGCACCACCCCGCCCGCGCCGTCGGAGACGGGGAAGTGCTCGAGGATGTGGGCCGCGTCGTCCGCGAGCACCAACAGCACGGGGATGTGGACGTCGAGCCAGGGCCGGGGCAGGTCGAGCCTCGCGAAGCCCTCGCCGCGGGCCCGGTCGCCGCCGGGGACGCAGTACTGGTCCAGACCGTCGCAGTCGCCGTCGTCGGCGACGACGAGCGCGAGCGCGCCCGCACGCTGCGCGGCGAGCGCCTTCGCGACCAGCGGGACGGCGCCGCGCTTCATGAGGGCGATGCGGTGCGCGAGGGCCGGCGCGTTCGCCAGGGGCCCGTCGCCGAGCAGGGGGTCCGCGGCGACGAGCTCCGCGGCGACGCTCACGTGCGGCGGCGACCAGTGGCAGAGCCACGCGGCCGCGCGGTGCTGCGGCTCCCGGAGCGGCGCGCGGAAGCCCTCGGTCCAGATCTCGAGGTGCTCGCCCGTCGCCAGGGCCAGGGGGCCGTGGGCCGCGTGGGCGTGCGCGTCGAAGAGCTCGTCGAGCTCGCGGCTCACGTGGCGGAGCGCCGCGCCGTAGAGCTCCGCGCCCCGCGCCGCGGCGTCGTCGCCGCCGTCGCCGAGGTGGTGCTTGTCGGGCTTCTTGAGCGCCGCGCCGTGGCCGTCGACGACGTGGCGCCGCGCGCCCGCGGGCAACAGCGGCGTCGCGAGCGCGGGCGACGGCGCGGACCACGCGCCGACGCCGAGCCGGTTGTAACAGGCGGCGGAGAACTCGTAGGCGTGGACCTTGCCGTCGTGGGACGGCAGCAGGCCGCCGTCGACGTCGATGTGCAGGGGCCCGAGGTCGACGTCGCCCGCGGGGAACGACCCGAGGCGCCGCCAGTTGCCGTCGAAGGCGACGCCGTCCGCGTGGCGCGCGCGGACGAGGACGCCGACGATGGGGTCGCCGCCGTCGTCGGTCTGGCGGGGCACGACGACGTGGGCCAGACCCGGGGCGTCCGGCGGCGCGCCGGCCCGCGGGACGAGCGCCGCGGACAGGCCCTCGATCGCCGGCGGCGCGCCGTTCGTCCCCGTCTCGTGGCTCGGCGTCCACTCGCTCCAGGGGCCCGACGCCTCGCCGTAGGCGACGCGCGCGCGCCACCGGTAGGGGCGGCCCGGGAGCATGCCCGTGACCTTGACGTCGAAGGCCGCGTCGCCGAAGGGGTCGTACGAACGCGAGTGCCTGGGCAAAAAATCGGGATGCGACGTCGCTTCGACGCGAGTGTGCCGCGCGTTCCAAAACACGCGTCCACGCGTCGAGACCGTTCCGAGAGATGATCGCTCGTCCAAGAGTCAGCCGAAAAGAGTGGAAACCGACCGAGCTAGGAGCCTTTGGGAAGCGCGCGCTCTTGTCCCGCCCCGGCTCGCGCTCCTCCGCCGCGTGCGCGTCCGCGTCGAAGAACTGGACGCCCGACGCGTTGCCCGACCCGTGCGTCGCGAGCTCGAGGGCCGCCGCGACGGGCTCGCCCGTGGCCTCGTACGCGACGTCGAAGCCGAACTTGGCGTCGTCGCCGGGCTTCCGCGCGTAGCCGGACGCGACGGCGAGGGCGCAGGTCTCGCGGCCGACGGCGACGACCTTGGGCGGCGCGAGCTCGGGGATCGTCGCGCCGACGACGCGCCAGCGCCAGCGCTGGTCCGCCTGCCAGAGGCCGAAGTTCCGCTTGCCGCGCGCGGGCGGCTTCTCGGGCCGCGGGAAGCTGGCGAAGGCGGCCCAGGGCAGGTCCTCGCCGTGGAAGTCCATGCGCGTGTCGAAGGCCGGGTCGTCGAGCTCCTTGACGAGCTCGTGCTCCCGGGGGCCCGACTCGTCGGGGAACGGCCGCGACGCCGCGGCGTCGCGGACCAGGGCCTTGCGCGCGGCGGCGAAGTTGGCCGCGTCGAGCGTGCAGAAGCGGAGCACGAGCGCGCCGGCGGTGGGCGTCACGGCGAAGGCGCCGGCGCCGCCGGGCACGAAGAGGCCGTTCCTCTCATCGTTCGCCGACGCGGCCCACCCGTCGCCGGACGCGGCCGCGGCGCCGCGCAGCACGGCGTAGAAGCTGTGCGCCGGCGCCCGGCAGCCCGCGTCCCGCGCCGCCACGACCTTGGGCGCCACGAGCGCGCCGACGCGCGCGGCCGCGGCCGGCGCCGCGTCGTTCGCGCGCGCGACGAGCGCGCCGGCCGCGCGCGCGACGTAGTCGTGGGCCACGTAGCGCGGCACGACGAGCACGTCGAGCAGCGACGCGCAGGCCGGCCCGGCCCGCAGGCAGGGCGCGCCGCCCGTCGCGAGGGCCGCGTCGAGGCTGCCGTTGACCAGGGCGAGGCCGCCGAGCAGCGCCGGGCGCCCGGCGGCGAGCACGGCGTCGTAGAAGGCCTCCATGGTCGCGACCTCCTTCGTCGCGTTGTCGTAGGTGACGACGTCCGCGGCGCCGACGAGCGACGCCGCCAACGCGAATGCGACGCGAGCGAGCGCCATCATCGTTGTGCGAGCGGACCTGCGACAGGCAGCCCGGTCGAGGATGCAGTTCAACATCTGTTCAGCTTACCACCGGAGGCTCTGTCATCGCATGGGAGCTGTGCGTCGTCCACCCACAGGACTGGACGACTACGAGACCGCCGAGTAGATCCGCCGTGTTCGCGCTCGCCGTCGACGACGCCTCTCGAGCTCTCGACGAGTAGCGCCGCACGACATGGAGACGGTGATCCTGGCGCTCCAGCGCGAGCCCGGCGAGGGCTGGGGCATGAACATCGGGCGCCGCGGCGAGGGCGGCGCCTTCGTCGTGACGTCGATCAAGCCCGGCGGCGCGGCGTCGCGGGGCCCGGCGGCGCCCGCCGTCGGCGACGAGCTCACGGGCGTCGCGCCCGCCGCGGGCGGCTTCGTCGACGTGAGCGCGGCGTCGACGGGCGCGCAGATGAAGGCCGCGTTCGGCGCCGCGGGCGACGCGTGCCAGCTCCGCGTGCGCCGTGAGCGGCCCGAACCGGCCAAGCCGACGTTCATGGCGCGCTTCGGCGCGCGCGTCAAGAAGGCGCGGAGCGCGTCCGTCGACGCGCGCGCGGCCTTGGCGTCCGCGTCCGCGTCGCTCGGCGACGCGGCCGCGCGGCTCGCGACGGCGGCGTCGACGGCGGCGTCGTCGCTCGGCGAGGCCGTCGCGGGCGACGGCGGCCGGGCGCCGGAGCCCGGGGCCTGCGTCGCCGTCGCGCCGCGCGTCTACGCCGTCGTGGGAGGCGGCGCGCCGGACGCGGCGGCCGTCGCGGCGGCCGCGCGCGCGCGGCTCGCGGAGGCGGCGTCGACGCGCGGCGACCAGTTCGCGGAGCTGGGCCACGCCGACGCGTTAGATGACGACGTGGCCCTGCGGGCGCTGCTGATCAACGTCGGCGACGCGCCGGCGTCGCCCGAGTTCCTGTCGGCGTTCCGCGGTCGCGTGGTCGACGCGGGCTTCGACGCGCCGCGCGGGAGCCCGACGCCGACGGCGGCCTACGCGACGCGGCTGGGTCTGGCCGTCGCCGCCTGGCTCACGCTCGACGAGGCGGGCCGCACGGCCGTCGTCTTCGGCGATTTGGGCGCCGGCGACCGCTGCCGGTGCGGCGTCGCCGTCGCCGCGGCGTGCCGCGTCGCGTCCGCGGTGCTGGCGGCGTCCGAGGCCGCGCCGGGTGGGCTGCCGGGCCCCGGGAGCGGCGCCCCCGGCGAGCGGCCGCGGGTGGACAGCGCCGCGGAGGCCTACGGCGCGTGGCTCGAGGCTGTGTGGAATTCAAATCTTCAACTCGACTTCAATGTGCGCATATGCGACAGTTTCGACGCAAGCTCTTCAGCTGTGCTTCGAGAACTTGACGAGAGCAATCGATTCGTCCAAAAATCAGCCGAATCGACTTCGATTTGACCGAGCTAGAGAATTCTGAGGTTTGGTCGGGACCACCCAAACCAGTGGTTGAATTCCACACAGGCTCGAGGCCTGCGGCGGCGACGCGGCGAAACGGTTACGGCTCGAGGGGCTGCCGCCGTCGTTCGCGCGGAGCCTGAAGCATCTCGACTTTGCGGTGGAGGCGCGGGGGTTACCGAACGAGCGGCCGCTGCGATTGCTCGGCGTCTCCGTGCGGGGCCTGCCCGTGAGCGACGCGCCGGTGCTGGAGGTGGCGAGCCCGGGCCTCGCGCGGCCGTGGACGTCCGACGGTGCGCCGGGCGCCGTCGAGTGGGACGGCGACGAGGCCTTTTACGCGCTCGGGAACAGCGACGACGACGCCTGCGTGCTCCGGGGCGACTTCGCCGTCGTCGTGCGCTTCGGGGGCAAGTACCGGTCGACGGGCGACGACGCCGCGCCGATCGCGCGCTTCGTCGCGTCGTCCGCGTTCCTGTGCGACGGCGCCATCGACGCGCGGAAGCGCGACATCGACGTCCACCCGGCCTACGCCGCGGCGTTAGCGCACGACGACGACCTGCGGCTGCGCCTCGCGTTCCGCTACGACGATGACGCGGCGCCGCCGGCGACGGCGGACGCGTTCGCGCTGCCCGCGGACCCGGGCGACGCCGTGCTCCGGGGCCTGGCCGTGCTCGTCGCCTACCACGCCGTGGCGCCGGATGAGGCCAAGGTGTCGAAGCTGCCAGGCGTGGGCGCCGCGGCCGCGCGCGCGGCGCTGAGATTCGGCGGCAACGACGTCGACGCGGCCTTCCGCGCGCTGTCGACCTTCCCGCTGCTCGCCGCGGCGGGCGACGCCGCGGCGGCCCACGGCGACGTCGCGGCCTACGCCGCGGCGGCGCCGCGGGCCGCGGCCATGGACCGCGGCGCCGCCGCGGCGCCGCCGCGCGCGCCGCGCGCCGCCGCGGCGACCGCGCGCCTCGGCATCCGCAAGCCCCGCGCCGCGCGCAAGCCGTCGCTGCCGCCCGCCGCGCCGGCGACGCCGGGCCGCGCGGCGGCGGCGGCGAACCTCGGCGCCATGCGCGCGACGACCGTCGACCGGGCCGACGACCTCGTCCTCGTCTACGGCCTCATCGGGGCGCCCGAGCCCGTCGTCGCGGCGCCGGCGCCGGCGCCGGCGGCGGCGCCCGCCGGGGCCGCGCCCGCGGCCGCGGCGCCGGCGCCGGCCGAGCCCGCGGCGGCGCCCGAGACCCCTGCGGCGGCTCCCGCCCCGCCGGTGCGCGAGGCGCCCGAGCTCGCGGCGGCGCCTGAGCCCCCGGCGGTTGTCAAGCCCTCGGCGGCGCCCGAGCCCGCGCCGACGCCCGCGCCCGCCGCGCCCGCCGCGCCCGCCGCGCCCGCCGCGCCCGCCGCGCCGGCGCCCGCCGCGCCGACGCCCGCCCCCACCCCCGCGGCCGCGCCCGCGTCGACGGCGGCGGCGCGCGCGAGCCTCTCCGGCATGCTCGCGGCGCGCGGAGGCGCCGCCGCGGCGGCGCCCGCGGCCGCGCGCGTCGCCGTGGCCAAGGCCGACTACGCCGCCCAGGCGGAGCGGGAGCTGTCCTTCGCCAAGGGCGACCGCATCGCCGTGCTCGAGGCCGGCGCGCCCGGCGACTGGTGGAAGGGGTCCCTCGGCGGGCGCCGCGGCTACTTCCCGTCGAACTACTGCGACGTCGACGCGGGCGAGGCGCCGCTCCGGGACCACCCGGCGCTGCGGCCCTTCCTCAAGCTGCTCCGCGTGGGCCTGCCCCGCGGCGCCGTCGCGAAGAAGATGGCCGAGGAGGGCGTCGACGCGCGCTTGCTCGACCGCGACCTCGACGCGCCGCCCGACGCGGAGACGAAGTTGCTCCTCGCGGGCGCCGCGCCGGCCCCCGCGGCGGCGCCAGCGCGGCGCTGGGGCGACAAGTCGTCGTCGAAGCGCGCGTCGCTCAAGCCCGTGCACTGGGAGGCCCTTGGCGAGGAGCGGACGGAGGGCACGGTCTGGGCGACGGCGGGAGAGGGCGTGGAGGTCGACCGCGCGGAGCTCGCGCGGCTCTTCAAGCGCGACGAGGCCAAGCCCAAGCGGTCCCTCTCCGCGCGGCCCGCGGCGGAGTCCGGGGCCTGCGAGCCGAAGCGCGCGGGCAACATCGCCATCACGCTCGCGACGCTCGCGAAGCCCTTCGACGGCGACCTCGGCGCGCTGCTCGACGCGGCGCTCTCCTTCGACGGCGACGCGCTGAGCGGCGAGGCCCTGGACCAGCTCGGCCCGCTGCTCCCCACGGACGACGAGGCGGCTCTAGCGCGAAAGCTCTACGGCGCCGCGGCGACGCCGCCGGCGAAGCCCGCGGAGGCCTTCTTCGCGGCCGTCGTCGCCGCCGCCGACGACGCGTCGCGGAACTTGGGCGGCGTCGCGGGCCTGCGCCAGCTCGTCGCCTGCGCCGCCGACGCGCGCCACGCGCCCGACGCGGCCGCGGGCGTCGACGCGGGCTCGGAGGCGCTCGTCGCCGCGGCGGACGGCGCCGTCGGCAGCGAGGCGCTCGCCGAGGCGCTCCAGCGCCTGCTGGCCGTGGGCAACGCGCTCAACGAGGGCACGAGCAAGGGCGACGCGCGGGGGTTCACGCTGGCGAGCCTCGAGCGCCTCGCGACGACGAAGTCGTCCGTGGAGGGGGGCGTGTCCGTGCTCGACTTCGCCGCGCGGAGCGCGCTGCAGCAGGGCGGCGGCGACGAGGCCCTGTCCGCGCTCGGCGCGCCCCTCGCCGCCGCGCGGCGCGTCCACCCCGGGGACCTGCGCCGCGCCGCCGCGAGGCTCGCGCGGACGGCGGGCGCTTTGCGCGGCGCGGCGGCGAAGAGCGCCGCGGGCGCCGCGGCGCCCCTCGTCGCCGCGGCGGACCGCCTCGACGCCCTCGCGGCGCGGGCCGACGCCGCGGTGTCCGCCGCCGACGCCGCGACGCTCCGCGCGGCGAAATTCTTCGGCGAGGTCGGCGGCGACGGGGCCATCGACGCCGCGCACCTCTTCGGCGCGCTCCACGGCCTCGTCGAGGCCTTCGCCGCGGCCCGGCTGCGGGCGGAGGAACGCGCCTTGAAGGCCGCGAAGGCCGCCGAGCAGGCCGCGCGCGCGACGCCGGAGGCGAAGAAGGAGCGGCGCCGCGAGTCGCGGCGGCGGTCCACGGTCTCCGTCGACGACATCCTCGGCGACGCCGCCCCGAAGGCGCGCGTGTCGGAGTCGAAGTAACCCGGGTTAGCCGCTACTCCGCTTCTTCGGCGCGCGGCGGCACAGGTCCCGGTGCGTCGCCCAGGCCGCGCGCTGGCACAACGCGGAGCAGTACCACGCCTTCTGGCACCGGGAGCACCGCGTCTTCGCGGGCCCCGCGCAGCGCTCGCAGAGCTGGACCTTGGCCGCCGGCGGCGGCGCGAAGTCGTCGCCGTCGGCCGCGGCCGCGGT